CAGTCGAGAGAACCTAACCCATCCTCATGTCGTTGCTGGTCACCACCATGTCAACTTTACTTTCGAGATCGTAAAGTTCCGAGAGGTTATAATTGACAAATTGACACTAGTCATGCTCGTCGAGGTTCCCACCCATATCACCGATCGTACACACGAAATGAACTGTCCAGCTGGACTGTGGCACACTGCGTCTGTCATACTTTCTAGGTCTTGTGGCGGAATCGATGTCACTAGCCTCATTCCCACTTTGAGGCCACTCTTACGAAAGGAATAACTAACTCAAGGCTGTCTGGAAATCTTCGCCTTCTGGACATTTTGCTGAGCTCCAACTTCAAGAGAGGCTTAACCATCGTCGCTGGGTCGAGACTGCCAGTTCCCTCGTGGAATGGGGGCGGAGTACCAGCCAAACTGGGTTAGCCTACGAGTGTCCTAATTTCTACAGTTGCCTGCAGAACTCGACCGAGCACAGCTTGAGCGGAAGATCCGTCTTCTGTCATTTCCATCACTAGGTTTTGCACACGTCGGGTACGGCCTGGAGGTCGCGTCGATCCTACAGATTGAATTGAGAAGTGGGCGATCGATGGTACGTCCTCTTGGCATGCTGTCGTTTATAATATTGATTCGTACCGGACATCTTTTGGGAAAGCTCTCGCAGACTACTCAATCTCTACACGTTTACCGTTCGTCAGCGCGCACGTTTGAGTGAGAGCAATTGGAAGCACTGGAAAAGCGTCTTGTTGCATGGAAGGCATGCCTAGCGAGCGTGTTGGAGGTTGTTACTAGTGCACAAAAGTGCGGTAACGGTTCGGCTGTGGGTGACGTCGTGCAGCAGGTCACGCAAACAGGTGAGAGCGTTCAGGTTGATGCCGCGTAGCCTACATCAGGGTTCCTCCGGTCAATAAATCAAGTTCACGGTTGACTGCAATCTGTGGGAAAGCTAGTGAAGTTGATCTGAAGTTCTGAACATGAGATGTCGAATGTTCAAAACTCTGCTTACTGACATGAAGGAACTTTGGTTTGGGCACTATCAATGCCCAGGGGTACCGCTGTTGATTACAACAATATTGCGCAGCCAACATCAGAGAACTTTTGTATATATACGTTTCCGTCAGTCATGCAATCACTTGTCACTACTGGTGGTGATTTGCTTGGGAGTGCTGTACGTACTATGCAGCGTACAGATTTGATGTGTATATACCCGCTTAAACAAACATCACATCATTCCAATCACTGACGAGACATACGTAAACACGCTAATGTACATTGAACTGCCTCGAAATTGAATCGGACCAAGGTAGCCTAAGTAGTATACTTGTGACACAGCCATTGACATGCGGTGTCAGCAAAGCGCCTGCAACCACAGCATACAAAACTGACCCAAAACAGCGGGTCTTTTCACCGCCTTCAACTCGTATCTTTCCCTCTGGTCGATTGCTGACTTTGCGCAGTGTTTCTCTCTCTAGTCCATTTGTACAGCATCCTATATCGATCAAGGTCATGCCACACGAAGAGGCTGAGTCGAGCACGTCAACAAGACGGGGTGAAGCGCCATTGCACTCATCGATATATCGGACAAGCGCGAAATATTTACCACCATACGGTGCACAGCACCTCCAGGATGCACTTTGGGAAGGTGAGCAGCCACCTGGTGATGCCTACCAGCTTACTCAATTAGAATTAGGCGGGAATGAAGCACTTCCTCCTATGTGGCAACAGTATATGGTGTCGAATGGTGAAACAGTATATCACGATGACACGCTCGCGATTGGCTCGTGGAACCGACCTTTACCAGGAGTGCGACTAGGTGAGGGATGAAATTACGACAAGGAGCGACCAACTCACCATTGAACATAGACTATCCCGGATATCTTGCTGTTCCTGGATGGGAATGGCACATCTCACCACTCGGCCGGTCCTACTTCGTCAATCATAACGCTCGGACCACGTCATGGAAGAAACCAAAGCCAGAACGTCCTGCAGGAAGCTTGATGCCGGAGTGCGTCATCGAGGGTCACTCTCGATACATATGGAGCCTTGCCTATTTGGGCAACAGTGGCAATATAATGAGCACGTCTGATGATGGTTTGATTCGTCAGTGGAAAGGAGACGGAGAGCCAGTAGGGAAACCTTTGAATGGTGATGGGGGAGGGATAGCTTCGATGGTAGTATCCTCGAATGAAACAATGGTCATTTGTGGAAGTGCGGACGGCAGACTGCGGCTGTGGAATATAAAGGAGGGCAGCATGGTTGGTGACCCGTGGGAGGGGCATAGTGCTGCAGTGAGGTGCCTTGATTGGTGTCGCAATTCTCTGGAGATAGCAAGTGGATCGCTTGATGGCACGATACGACGCTGGAACCCTGATACTGGTCGACAAATAGCACCACCCATAGAGACCAGCCATGGATGGGTTATGGCCGTCAAATACTCTCCACAAGGCGACAAATTCATGAGCGGCGGTATGGACGGCCTGATCTGCATATGGTCAAGGGATGGCAGGCTGCTTATGAAGATCAAAGGACATGACGACTGCATGACGTCATTGTGTTGGTCTGTTACAGTAACATGGCATGAGTCCCCTGCCAGCAGACAGCCCTCTGCCACCGCACGGCTATAGACGATACCGGAGTCTCACCAGCTCTATGACGATAGATGACGATAGATGATGATAGACGATAAGCGGCAACTGCCGGCTTAGATAAGCGGTCTGGACTGCATATGACGACACATGACGACATAGGTCTAGAAGACCTATTTATGTTATCAAGATAGAAGGCAAGCCTCGTGCTGCCTCATGTACTGATAGAAGGGTACCGCATGGACCCTATCTACGATAGAAGCCCGCCTCATGGACGCTATCTCTGACTCATGTAGATAAGCAGATTAGAACCCAGCTTTAGGCTGAGCTTAGATACGAAGAGTAGCCTTATATAAGGTCGAAGATTAAAGTAGACGTTCCTTACTTTAATCTTACTAGGTTTACCCTTGAACTCCTTGTCCCGCTAAAGCTACCTGCTTGACATCGACTCATACCTTCAGTGACGCCTCTCACTGTCTGTAAACCGCTATCATCTCATCGTAACCCCTCGTTAACCACCACGAGCTACGTTCGAGTATGCAACCTTTGCTTGTCTGTAAAGGCCGACGACTCTCAGCACTCGGTACCACTGTCGTGGTTGTCGCTGTTTAGATCATCCTAGTCGCACATGACCATTTGTCGTAACAAAAGCCAGCGACTTTGACGAAATCTCGAAAGAGATTCTCATAACTGCTTGCTCCGTTTATCAGTGTCTCATCGTCACACAGGCACCTTTTCCGGATTCCGTTGCAGCTGAGACAAAACTGGTGAAAGAGGCCTGGCGCGAGGCATGTCAACTCAAAGGTGTTGACGTCAAACTGACCCCTTCGGCGGTGAATATGGTGAGCACAGTATTTTTAGTGCATTCCTGGTCTTATTCGTTCAAAGCTGTTGAAACGCGCTTCACACGTGCGAGGCGAACTCAAGACGAAGATGCGTCCGCTCACGGCTTCATTTCACGGCTTCCGCTCAAGTAATTCTATGGAGGTGATAAGGTCAAACCGAGATCTCGCAGAGAGATTGAAAATTGGCTCGATCTTTGTTTTCAAGGTGAGTATTCGACGGTCTACATAACTTAGTGCTGACATTGAGCAATAGGACCCGTCATCCAAGTCAGGCATCTACAAGACCGAGTTGCTTCAACAGGGTATCAACAGCATGTGGTTCTTGAACTGAAGTGACGAGGGTGTCATCTACCACAAATACTTCGACCCCATCCCTATCAAAACTATTGCGCTCGTGCTTACGGCTGTGAGCCGTTTTTCACATTCTTACTTTCAACTTGATGATGCTGACAATATCTTATAGATAGAATGTTGTGTTGATGAGTGGTCGCAAGGCATCAAAGAGGACATCAAGTTCACATCTGCTGGTTATGGGGCCGTCTACAACCATCATTTAAGCTCACTGCAACACTTTGATGAGTGCACTGCACCTTACAAACTCCTTTCAAAAATTCGTATCAATCTGCATGATACAGCGCGGTATGTTGGACTCTTATCTCACTGACTCTTCTAATGCTCGCGCTTCTCAGCTTCCACGCAGGTGTCGCATCACTCATTCCATTGTCAGCTACATCCCAGGCCCACATCGACGACGCGGCGTTTGAAGACGCTATTCGAGAGTACCAGCGTGAGGGGAAGGATGCGGCAGTCGAGGATGAGGTCGAGGAGTATGAGTATCCTAGTAGCGAGGGTGGGGATGATGAATAGGGACGCAGTGAGTAAGACGTTCGTATTATGCTAGTTTGTGTTTCAGGTGGTTGAATTTAATTGTGACTACGAGGTTCTTTGGTGTGCTATATAGCTGCTGGTAGTAATTTATAGCTGCGTGCAGTAGCACTCCGACAAACTACGGTAGTACCTCGTAGCTACTGGTAGTTACTATGGGACTCTATGGTGACTACATAGAGGGCACTTGACAACGGGGCTACTCGCGCTACCCTGACTATATAGCACTATGTAGTCACTATGTTTTTTCCTGATGATACCAGCAACATGCTTCAACTACGCCACAAGCATTCCGTCCTGGCCATTCTCACTCCACTGCACAAGGACATACACATAATGGTAATTCTGAGCAGAACTATGGTTGTCACGGGCATCACGGACATGGTTATGGACGCCAGCCCTCGATCGTGGTACCAAAGCGCCCCGTTCCCCGGATCGTGTAAGCCTTCATTCTTCACACATCTCTTTCGACAGTAGTCATTGATGGAGGTGATTAGAATTCATTCCAGGCACGATGTCTATAGCACAAAAGCATAGGCAGTTGTTGATACTTATCTTCAGGTCCAATGAAACCGATTCTCTCCTTTTGAGAGGAGGACATCGACCAAACCATGACTCAGGATCTTGCTTCTTCATAACTATCGGAGTGATACTCATTTTGGGGGTGTTTTATATCGTTCAATTCCTCTCGTCTATGCCCCCCGATGAGATTGCTTGGACCAATCTTGAATCTCATTCCTGCACGAGTTATGCAACAAGGGAGTACGTGGCAGAAATCAACGTCTCACCTTGGAACCGCCAGTGGGCGAAAATATGCATGAGTACTCCAGTGGTTGTCCATGGCCGGCCTCACTTTGCCTCCAGATGTGAATATGTTAGTTGACGTTTTTCGTTAGTCCTGATAACAGCATTTGACTTGGTGTAGCGTTCAGGTATGGTAATCGGTCATTTCGCCATCAGACATAACGAACTAGACTGTGTCACATACTGGAGTGGATATAGGGATTGGGTAAGATAAAAGTTTTACTTTGCACCTAAACTTACCGCTCTGCCCCATAGGGATGTACCGCTAAAGGCTCGCACAAGAGAGTGAGAGGCATATGCATTGTTCTCTGGGACTTTATTTGATCTGAATTGTAGCACATTGAGCAACATCTCATGAACGTACCGGCCAACGCAGACTATAAAGAATTCTGTGCGACAACGCCTGCTCATTTCTTAGGCCAAGGATTCTCTGGTGCGGACTCGTGCTTCGATAGCGTACGTGCAATTGAGCCATCGCTCCGAAATTTTATCTGACATACCTCTAGATCTGGGGTGTCTATGGGCAGTGGTTCATTGACGACCCCAGTTGCTAAAGCGAGTGGAGCATGGTTTCTCATACCTATTGATGACCACTTTTACTTCCATTTTTTCCCAGGAATTCGTGTTCTATTTACTGATGAAGATTGTATGATGTGTACCTACCCCTGCGGCCCGTTGTACGTTTCGAACGGAGTGACCAAACAGCATCTGCAACCATGTTATCGAGGACTTTCAGATGGTCTACAGTGCTCAGTACGCGACCTTACCTGCTGTCACTCTGTGGAGCAACTCAGCCATTGCTGCGGCAGCCATAAGAGCAAGCTACAATCAGAACTGAACAAATGAACAAATACATACGCTACGGGGGTAGCAAGGATAGTTCACGTCTAACATCACTCACTGAATCAGATTCATTCAATGCGACGCGGTGTGTGGCACTAGTACAGAACAGAATAACAAAGTATCATGCAGAAATATCATTAAATGAGTAAGCAACAGGAGAGTGAGGCAATGAAAACTTGAAATACAATATGCTGTGCTAATGGAATCTTCTTGCGCAACGATTTCACGGACTTGTGCAGTGCTACCTTAGCACGAGTGCAGCCCAATCTTGTCGAATCATCAATGAGGTTGCGGTAAAAAGCAGACACGACCTGGCGTGCAACCTCATCGTCAACAAACCACATGGAACCAATCACACTGCGAAATCCGCAGAATTGCATAGCTGTATCGAGATGTATCAACTCATCGGGACTCTTGTCATCGCCCACGGTAGTGTGGCAAGCCGATAAAAATGCAAACTGTGGATTCTGCCAGTTGGATCGGATGATGTCCCGTATCATCAATGGGTCGTCGCGCATGGTGAAGGAGGACTCGAACGGCTGTGTCCGATTCGGTAATCTGTGGCAGGCGAGATGAAGCCACTGATTATGATTGAGTGCATCGAGTGCACCATCAACTGTTGCGTTGCCATCCTCGAGGAATGAATGTGAAGGAGACGATGGGAGCAACATGCTGAGCGACGACGGCTAGCTCGAAAGCGACACATTTGAGCTCCCTCCCTTTTACCAGATTGCCTTGGCCGATAGCAACAAAATGTTGCGAGGACGCATCTCAAGAAACTTGCTGTCTCGCACGAATGAGAGTCGCCAAAGTGGGGGTGTAAGAGGATATGTAAATGTCAGAAAATTTGTCTTTCCTCTTCTCGTATGGTCCTGCTGCATTGATGGGAAGCAGCGTGAGCTCAGCAGTGGGACACCACCAGATACGCGAACCAGGGCGAACATTTAACTCCCCGAGAGCTTGGACCACGGGGTCAACGATATCATTCCAAAGTTTGCGAAGGATGCCGACGAGTGATCGGAAGACCCAAACTAATCTGCGAGTGATTGGAACTCAGAGGAGAATTCAGGCACTTCGACTTGTGTAATGTCAAGCGATACATGAACAGGATCTTCCACTCTATGGATAATCAAGTCATCGCAGCTGTGCTGACTAACATTGTGGATGATCACTGGACCATCTCCAGCGGCCGTCTGGAGGTCAGAAGACAGCGGAGGCAGGAGAAAGCGTGAAAGTGGGGGAGCATGCGAATATGTGTCATGATATCAGTGGATTTATCGACCACGTTACGAAGACGAAAACTCGATTAGAATGACACCGGGGAGTAGCTCCAGTGCAGCCCGATTGTGCTCGATGGCCTCATCAAGGTCAAACATGATGCCTCGCTGCAGCCATCTGTCTCGAAGGGTGAATGCAAGATTGTTGAAACCGAAGGATCGAAGAATATGGTCGGGAGGGCACAGCTGCAACACAACTCAATACACCAAGTTAGTGAGGAAAGATGACCATTTCCCCATCTTGCTGTAAAAGGTCTCTTATTGAGTGCAAAATGGAGTGGATCAGAGTGAATACACACTTAATAGAGAGCTGAAACTGCACTAGCGCGTCGAAGACCTGCTAGTGTGAGGGAAATGATACGTTGAGTGCTCATCGATCCCGGGAATTTGACGGCGAGCCGCAAGGTCACGGTGAAGTTGACTCACGGAGGCTCTGTTTGAGAACTACATGGGGCTGGGGTATTGCAGCCTCGGTAAAGCAAGATGGAAATCATGATGATCTACCTTTAGCGATATTAGCAATATAAAGCAGTTATCCGATCGAATTGAATTTTGTGCTACTACGGTGATGGTCAATGTTTAATTCATGAAAGACTCAAGACTTGAACGTACGAGTACATGCTAAAGGCAAGTAATACTGCTTCGATCATGATAGTGTAAACAACAGCCTAAGGCACCGTGGATATTGATGACCTAGTAACAGAGTCAACAAGCGTCCATAATATACTTTCCCAAACACAATTGTAATTCATTATTCGACCCTCAATTGACAATTTCTTTCAATCCTTGATCTTCTGCGCACTAGGCTGTGTTTCCCTGTAATCGATAAAAACCTGTTGGAATTTGTCGGGACAAGTCTAAATCTCGTTCAAAATAACGCAAGGACGAGATGAGTTCATTAGCCTTCCTAGTGACTGAATTGCAAGTGTGTTTGTGTTTACAACCATAATCCGCCAGGTCCACTTATACCTTCGTCCAAAGTCCCTTGCTAGCGAGTCCAGGAGAAAGCATCCAGAAATACGCGAGGTACGACGGAAAGTGCTCATCCCATGTACTGGCGTCTTACTATGTCCACGCAAAGGCAGCAGAGAAGTCGCTTGCGATACTTAGGTCCTCTCCAGAGCAAGCGACAGCATCTTTGGCGTCTGGTACGTGATTCCATTCAAACGCGCCTCACTTTCTTCATCGTTCACCCACAGACAGCGCACAGTCAGATGATCTTCTCCGTCCAGTGTTCATGGGGTGTGCGACCAAAAACGCGAAAGTAGTCGCCATCTCGTTGGGGTCGCTGCAGCGCTTGATAGCCCTCAAGGCTGTACCACAGTCTGTTGTCCCACTCATCGTAAGCACGATGAACGATGCCATGAGCCAAGGCGTGGACATTCAACTTCGGATCCTGCAAACCTTAGTCTCTTTGATCACTAATTTTCCTTCGATACACGAAGAGCTCCTGGGAGAGGTACATTCTGTCTATACTACCTGGTACCTAGCTGATTACCCGTCAAAGGCATTGCTTCTCTGTTTCAAGCTGCAAGATTCTAGGATTGCAGTAGTCTCTTCAACAGCAGCAGCCACCCTGCGCCAACTGGTCATGTTTATCTTTGAAAAAATGGTCAACGAGGATCGTCAAGAGAGCAACGGCACTCTAGAGCTGTCTGAGGCGACGCTTCCGGACGGTAGCACCAAAGCGTTAGGGCCTTGTGCCAAGGATGCATTCTCTGTCTTCGAAGATCTCTGTCTCCTCGCAAATTCAGAGAGACCCAATTTCTTGAAGCTCGACTACCTACATAAGACCTTCGCCTTGGAGTTAATTGAGAGTGTACTCACGAACTACCACGAGCTGTTCAGGAAGGCAAGTTTGTCAGTCCCATTTAGCTAATTCATACTAATGCTCGTCGTAGCATGCGGAGCTTTTGATGTTGCTGCAACACCATCTCTGTCCACTGATTCTGAAATCTCTCTCCGACAGACATGTCTTTCCGTTGACACTCAGATGCACGCGAGTTGTGTTCTTGATCTTGAAGCAGTTCTCATTCGAGCTAGAGACGGAAGCTGAAGTATTCCTGATGCTTCTCATAAGAATGATCTCAGAAGATTCCGATACGTCGAATCTGGACCATTCTGGCTCACGACCAATATGGACAAGGGTCCTTGCGATGGAGATAATGAGAGGGTATGTTTTGAGCTTGACGCCCCAAATTTCGCACTCAAGTTTCTTTTCAGGGTATGCAGCGATGCTGAACTTGTCCGAAACATATGGGATCGCTACGATGCGCAGCAGCCGGGCTCCAAGGTCTTCAGCTCTATGATAGTCGCATTGAAACGCCTTGTTACTGAGAAACCTGCTCTGCTCGGAGTGAGCGCGCAGATGATGGGGGTCGGAATTTCTCATACGGGTGATAGTGCTGCACCACCGGGATCCAATTATGGTTTGGATGTTGGTGGGGTTGCTGGGATGGTCGCTACGGCTGCAAGTGCTACCGTATCGGGAGTAGTCGGGATAATTGGGTCTGGCGTTGGTCTAAGCGTGCAGAACTCGGCCATGAAGCTCCAATGGTACAGTCCCCATTTTACATCTCGCGGATTACCCTGAACCATCTTTCCTGACCAGCATCGATCAATTAGACAAAGCGGACTCGCCACCAATCCCCGAAGCATACATTTACCTTCTCGCTGTGCAGTGTATTGTCTCCCTGTGCGAAGGCTTCGCCTCATTCACTGGACCACTGTACACGTCCATCATGGTACAACGTCCTCGAGCGGCCGGCGAGCCTGTCATTCGCGCACCCGCCGCTCTTGACCTCTCCACACTCCCGCAGGACGATCATGCAACTGAGCACCTCATTATCGTGCGTTCTATGGTTGAGAATGGCTGGCCTGCGCTTCTCGCAGCCCTCTCCTTCATTATCTCGACAAATCTTTCAGACGAGCTTTTCATAGACGTTCTTAGCAGCTATCAAGCTTTGACGAACGTTGCTGGGATGCTCGCCCTGAGCACTCCTCGCGACGCATTGTTCAATTCACTTTCCAAATTTGCAATACCTTCGCGAGTAGTGTCCAGCTTGGAATCCTACATTGAACCTCCGACACCACGAACGTCGACTTCCTTCACGGATAACTTGGGGTTGACAGCACCTATCCAGGCTCCGGGACTTTCCGATCGAAATCTAGCATGTCTCAAAGTCTTGGTATCCAGTGCCCTTTTCCTTGCTGGCAGCCTGGGAGAGAGCTGGTATGGCATTCTGGAAGCCTTACAGAACGCGGACTACGTCTTGAACGTCAAAGCGTCGCAAGCATCTACCAACCGGCGGATGAGCACACCCATGACACCCAGTCGATCGGTGTCAGCGATGAGTTCCGCTGAACAGGGAAAAGTGGCTCGTCATCCCCTCCTCATGGATATCGATTCAGAGAGCGTGCTTGCTGCTGTGCAGCGCCTCTTCGATGCGTCCAAAAACCTGGAGGATTCAGCTTTTCAGGACTTTGTCACCGCGCTCTGCAAACTTAGCTCAGAGATGGTTGGGATGCAATCTGATGGGAGCACGCTGACTGAGTCGGAGGATTCCTTGAGTCCTGTACCGATTTCTCCCCATAGAAGGCGTGTCAGCGGAATTCATCTGCCGCGCACTCTGGTAAGTCAGGGTTGATCCTTGTGCGTCACAATCTAACATCTTCTCAGCGTCAGGGCGATTTCGGTGTCGAGCGGCTGGGTTCAGTAGCGATGCTAAACTTCCATCGCCTCATCTATCGTGCACCTGAGGTCGCATGGAACACTACTACAAATCATCTTCTGTGGGTCATGGGTCTCTCCTCAGCACCGCAGTCAATACGAGTGCAGGCAGCACGCGTCCTTGATGAAATTCTTACCGTGGTCCCGCGTAACTTGTCATCCACTGGAGACCTGCAGGCTAAAGTTCAGCGTCGCGTTCTCGACGTTCTATCTAAACAAATAGTACCCGCATCATCCGACGTCCCAGCGACGAGCACGAATATTGAGCTCCGGCGAATGGGATTAGAGACCCTGCATCAAATTCTACAAGCGTCTGGACACACTTTTATCGTCGGGTGGGGCAGCATTTTTGAGATGCTGGGGAGCATCTGTAAACCCGCAGCTCTCTCCAGATCTCAGTCGGTCGATTCCATTAGCACGCTATCGCTTCAAGAGACGCCTCGTCTAAAGCCACTGCCTCTGGGGTATGTTAGCGACCGCGGCTACACAGCACTGGTGAAGATCGCCTTCCAGTCCCTTAAACTTGTCTGTGACTCCGTGTCTGTATTATCCCCTGAAGACTTGCGGCTTTGCATCAAAACCCTTGGACAATTCGGTCGACAAGCCGACACGAACATTGCGCTTACTGCCGCAGAAAGCCTTCTCTGGAGTGTGTCGGATTCGATCCAGGCAAAGCGGAAGGATGCAGAGATGGAACCGGAATATAGCGCTCTGTGGATGTGTCTGCTGTTGGAAGTTCTAGGTCTCTGTACTGACACCAGGCACGATGTTCGTGTAGGCGCCATCCAGACCCTTTTCCGTGCAATGCAGCTTTACGGCGCCACGCTTACGCTGGATACGTGGAATGACTGCATATGGAAGATCACATTCCCGCTTCTCGACACAATATCTATCGAAACCCGGCGCAGTGCCTTTGAGCCCGGAGCCCTGCTGAATTCTGGTCTGGCGGCGCAGTCTCCCGAACATGCATGGGACGAATCGAAGAGTCTCGCATTGCAGTCGATTGGATCTATTATCAGCGATTTCCTAGTCGTCAAGATCATGCATCTGGAATCCTTCTCAAAAGCATGGTCCGTGTTTGTTACCCACGTTCACGATACCGTATCCTTGGACCGTCGAAACTTGAGTCCACCTGCATTACTTTGTTTGGGGAAAGTGGTGAAAGCGCTTTCTGGCGCAGACGCCTCTCTGCAAGCCAAAGTGTCGGAAGCTTGGGAATGCGTATGGATGGCGTGCAGTGACATAGGGAGCATGGTTCTCCAGGGTGAGAGATCCCAGCTCTCTCCGAGTACGAATACGACACAGCACCACCGTGCATTTACTCAGGAGAGTTTGGTTGCTCTTGTCGACGTCATACGGAGCACACGTTCCATTAGTCTGACCCAGACGAAGAAGGAATGGCCGCTTCAGCGCCTCAATCGTCTGATGGAAATCCTCAAGGGCATGTCTCCCTATTTCTGTTGTCGTCCCTTTCCCTGAACCATGCACAGGTGTTCTTACTTATCCTGACTCGACGGACTACCGCCCGGATGTTGATGGTTTGTCACCCGTTCAGGTAGGTGAATGTTCAGCATTCACTGAACACCATCGTCTCATTAATATGACAGGTAGTGGTCTTGGACGCCATCGCGGATATTAACTTAACGGGATCTGGTATTCCATCTCTCATCTTACGAGATCTCTCGGAATTCAGCACACTTCCGTTTCTGGCTGCTTTTCATGTGCCCGTCTTGTCTCCCGCCTCCCCGGCAACGCCTATTGCAGCATCGTCTCAAAAACAAGTCACGTACATTGCGTTGTCCAAGAAAGTCATGCCGCTTATCGTTGAGTTATACATGCGCTTCAAGGATGAGCTCGAGATCTATGAAGATGGGACTTTGGAAGCTATCTTCTCGGTATGTGTCATTGATGATTTCCTTGATTTTCGAATGCTCATTTGGCTTCGTGCTCAGGCCTATTCAATACCGATAAAGCTAAAGTACGAGTGTCCTGCTCCATCAAAGTTTGGCAAAGATCCTCCTCTGTGGAAGACTGCTACAACAAGTTTCCTCCGTATAGTCACTGACTCGGTCAGGAGGATGGCAACATTCGACGATCGTACGTAGTTAACGATCTGGTTGACTTCATCTGATCATAAAATACAGGTATATCCAATACACGAATTGAAGGCATATGGCGACAAATCATTGAGGTCTTTCGGGGTGGCATTTTGGCTGATTGGTGCGCATTTTATCCTTATCTCCTTTTCGTTCTGTCGTCCTCTTACACCCCATGACTAACTCGTTTGCAGCACTGCGATAGAGAGTTTCTCACTCGAAGATCAGGAAGCGGAGGAAAACTTCGATCTGTCTCTCATCAGCTCATTGGAGATTGATCTCGTGCCACATCTTGGAGACGCAAGAGTCCCTGATCACCTCATCGCACAGTTCGCCAAGATCTTGCACAAGGGCAGCCAGTTGTACGAGTCACGTATGGATCCCTCACGCCCTGATTCGCCCTCGACAGATACTGCGAATGTGTCAGACGACTCTCGGGACTCGCACGACTTTGAAAAGGTCGACCTTGACGTCGGAACAACTGCCCCCGGGGTCCTAGTTTCGAGGGAGCGATTTTCGTTTTGGTGTTTTGATCTTTTGTTCTTGATATGCTCTAATGTTACAAGCGGTAAACCAATCCCTCTGCGCGCATTTCCAGCGCTAACTGTTCTCATAGATCAAGAGTCTTCAAGAAAACGAGTTGCTGCACTTTGTCTACCGACCTTACTTGATCGATGCAAAACTACTATGGTGAGCTATGTCGCTGACGAGGCTCTTCGCGGAAATATGCCTTTCCCGAGGTAAATTGTGATCATGTCGCATTATTTTCTGTTGCTGAACCAACTTTGAACAGGGCTCGTGAAGATGAACTGTTGTATGTACTCCGTAAGGTCCTGGATTTACGGCTTTGGTCAGGAACCCTGTGGGCCGCACTGTCAGAGTCGCCATCGAAGTTTAGTGATTCTCAACCCGGTACTTGTTCCTTTGCTCTATAATCTGATTTGGGCTGAACGTCTGCTCAGCTGTTGATGCCAATCTCTCACCGTCTGCACTCATTGCGGATGTGGTGAAACGGTCGCCAGTCGCTCATATCTTCTATTTCTATTCGGTGCTGTGTGAAATCGCTTCTATCCCTCGGAAGACGCCATCGACATGGGTGATTATGAATTCCTCGGCACCCGAGACCAACCAGGAGAGAAGAGGCAATGTTCTACGGCATCATATCGGTGCTCTGGAAGAAGGTGGCGATGTAATGGAGATAGATGCGAGAACACTTGCGAGGAAGGCGTTGCAGATTCTCGGGAAGGAGATGGGCACGATTTAGCAGTGGATGGTTTGGTCTACTTTGCAAGGGTTATTTTATTTTGATGCCTAATATCTATGGGCTTGCCACGATCGATTTAGCGCAGGTTATCTATCGCAACGTTCAAACTGGCTTAACCGTGATCAGTTCTTGGGACGTGCACTAAGAGGGGTGGGTGAGACTCTTCGTTCCCTTTTTCCTTTATCTCGTTATCTTGATCACACCACCGGTACCACAAGTACTGTCCGTTGCTTCTTGACTTCTGCGCCTTATGGCACTTCCGCTCGTCGATCCTCCGGTGTTACATTACCTAAGCATCTCCGCAGGTACATATATTGTCGCGTCTCTCGTTGACACCTCAGTATCGTTTCCCAACACTACCGAGCACTTGCTTCTCGCTTGCGCATATAGTGGGCACATCAGTGCCGATGTCACCCTGCTTTGTACCCAGTACTCTCATCAACTCCTTCCGACCGAATCTATGAGCTATTGCGGTGGGTTTCCAACTTGAAGGAGGTGACACTTTGTCAGCAAGGAATGTTCAAACTCCGTGTGAAGCCGCTGGACCCTGGTCATATTTCCTTTAATTCGGTTTCGCTACGTTCCGTTCCAACTCAGCTGTTTGTTTCTAACGCTGAGGTATGTACCGTCTCGTTCATCCCGCTTGTCTTGTCTCACTATAATATTATAGCCTGATGCTATTCCCCAATTTGTCTTGATGGCGTTTCAAAACACATTGGAGAATAGCTTCCGCCGCTTGGGCAACGAAATCGCACATTTGGGTAAGTCCTGGTCTTCGACAGCCGTCATTGTCACCTTTGAGTGGTAAGGTGACCATCACGGCTGTGGACTTACCAAACGGGCAGACGCCGTGCCTCCTCAGTCAAGATCTACAACTGGACGTATAATATTCATGTATGATTACCTACTGTCATCAGAAGCAGTGCGAGCACACCAAGTCTCTGACTTCTATTTTACTCCTGTATACATGTAGAGAGCCTCCTTGACATTTCGCTCGAGGTCGAACTTCAAGCAGGAGGTCAAGGAGGTGAGTACATATTGCTATGGGACATTTGTTCAATTATTGACAACTTTGCCGTAGAACTGTGACAGCATCTTGAAAATCGAACAACGGACCCTATTGATTGACTTCCATTTTCTACCTGCATACTTGCAGAGCAATCGCAAAAGTATTCATTGTGCTCCCAGTTGATCGGTGAATATCTTATACATCATATATGCTCACAGTTCGATTACCAAAAACATTATTTGCCCCCACCACGCTCCTCGTCACCACAGTTATTACCAACGAGGGAGTCTCGCGTACGAGTTGCCCGACGGGCACGTAGGAATCGCTATCGGGACCGCAGGGATTGTCGCGATGCTGATGAACTTGAACAAGCAATCGCCAGAAGACATTGGGTGACCAAAGTCATCTTTATGCAAAAGTGTGTGCTTCTTCTTGCATTTACACACGCGTCTCATCTCGCCCAGCATGTCGCGTCTTACTCATTCACCCGGTATCGTCCTTACTACCCCAGTCCAGTTTGCAGCATCTCCAGACATGATAAGTCGAGCCACCATCTTTCTCCGACGTCGTGTTGAACTGCGTGTCTGGCAAACCTTGATGTTGAGGTACGTGTAGTATTGTAGTCGGCTTGTGTGCTACTCTGACTTGGACATATGTTCCCTGATATGAAACCCTGTTCGTTGCAGGGTCAAGTTGTTTGGCAGAATACCTGCGAGCTCCTTTTAGTCCCTCACGACGTTCATCATTTCTCTCATGAAATCAATAGACATACAAGCTGAATCTGCCGTCAAACTTCTCTCCGAGTTCCTAGACCTAGATACTCTTTATATCGAGGGCCAGAGGCACCCAAACGCCGACATGGTCAGTAGTTTCTTCTCATTCATATGTAACTCTTGTTCTGTATTTCTCATGGACTAGTATCTCGACATCCTTTCCCAACCCTGCGTCCTGAGCACAGAAGAACTCCTCCCGCAACCCACCTTCAAGAAAGCTCTCCAGACTATCTCTCCCAAGATCGCAGGAACCATCGACGAACTCACAGCGTCAGCGAGTGTCGAGGTATACCTGATACTTACCTCGAATGACCGACGTAGTCACCTTGACAACACTCAGGAGCAGCTGACGACTTCTACAAAGGTAAAAGGAAAAGAACCAGAAGGTCATAACACGCCTCCTCGGGGCAAGAGTCAACATCCCTCGAGTAGCACACCACCACGTATTTCAGGAGAATTTGTGCCGAACGCTGTCATCGAATCCCAAGAAATAGTGGGATCATATACCCCCGGCAATCGCAAGTTCAATACGCCTGTAGAGTCCGGTCTTAGACCCTCCCTTGTTCCATAACCAACATCGACGAGACGGTCACGGTGCCTATCTCAGGTACTTGACTCGGAAGTTATGCCATAAGCTAGCTGCCACTGGTACCACATTCGCGTTATTTTGTTATCCAAGTGGTCCTTCACGCGCACGCTCCAAGATGGGCACGATTTAGCAATGGATGGTTTCGTCTACTTTACAAGAGTTATTTTATTTTGATGCCTAATATCTATGAACTTGCCACGATCGATTTGAATGGGTAGCACAGGTTATCTATCGCAACGTTCAAATTGACTTGAGCGTGATCACTTTTCGGGACGTGCACTAAGAGGGGTGGGCACATCAGTGCCGATGTCACCCTGCTTTGCACCCAGTACTTCCATCAACTCCTTCCGACCAAATATATGAGCTGCCTGTATTGCAGTGGGTTTGCCTATTCTCGGATCTGCGCCAGCTTCGACCAGAACACGCACAACCTCATCGTGCGACTTGAACACGGCGCCCGCAATCATAGATTGACCAAGATCGTTGAGCCTGTTTGGATCTGCTTTCCGTTGCAGAAGACCTTTAGTCAATTCCACGTGGCCTGCGTATGCTGCGAGCATTAATAATGTGTTTCCTATATGAATGTCGTACGTCATTCTGGGATATGGGACATGTATCAATGACTCGGACGCACCTTTCTCATTTGTGAGGTTGACTGGCAAGCCCTTGTCAACTGCTTGAAGAATTAGCTCTGTATCTCCCCCCCGCGCAGCGTCAAACATTCTGTGTGCAAATTCGAGGGTCTCAGCTGGCAAAGTGTTGGTATTGGACTGTGTGGGAGCTGCGACATGATCGGGCACTTGCGGGGATGATTCAGTTGCCTAGTAGCTCGCCTTAGATCTGATAGTAGGAAGAAGGCAAATGTGACTGACCATCGATAGATTAGGTTCAACTAGTGCGTTCAGTGCTCTGAAGAGATGTTCGAGTCAAACATGGGAGTATCTGTAGCGCCCAAGTGGTTGTTCGGAAAGTGCCGTGATGTCAACCTCGCCAGTCAGGAAGTCTAGCTGTACATCAATCAATGATGTGGACAGTCTGGGAACAAGTCTGTCACAGAATCTGGGGTGGGGAAGCGTGGTGCCGCTCGGCTTAATTCCGATTCTGTCAGAGATTTCATTTATAGCTGTCACATCACGTGATGGTTGACACATTGTCTCTATGCTTTCGATGTGCTGATGACGAAACCAGTGGGCGGAAGGAAATACAAGAACTCCGAGGTGGATACTAATAAGCGGGAAAAGGAAGGTTTGGGTACGTAAAAGGCCGTAGCCTTGCACTAGCAGTATAGAACGTTGAATATTGATCGCGCCATATGGCTAGATGAATCCCCTCTGTGGTAAGTATAATTTTGTTCTGTGCTCACTGCTTCTGGTGCTTTGCAAGGAGGTCAACTTAGAAGACTGATGCCGCATTCAAAAATAAACGTAGAATGGTATTAGACTCGAAGACAACTCGGAGATGAGGAAAGTCAGTAACCGGCCCCAGTGATGCATTCCTACTATCTGCCCATCAGGCAACTCGTACCCAAGATTCCCCCGTTGAAAATAACTGTGGTGACGAGGAGCGCTAGCGTGGCATGGAGGCAAATAATGTTGTTGGTTGTCGCATATATTGTGTATGACATCATTATTCACCAATTGCAACTACTACGAGCACGACACTTTTGCGATTGCTCTACAGATAGAAGTTCGAGGTAATCGTCAACTAAGACCTGCTGTTCGAGTTCCAGGATACTGTCACTGGTCTACAGCAAAGTTGTCGATAATTGAACAAAGGTCCCATAGTAATATGCACTCACCTTCTGGATAATCTGCCTGAGCTCCTTGGACTCCTTTTCAATTTTGTCGAGCCTTTCGGTTAGATCACTATTGTACTTGTCGATTTATTGCGAAGTATTATCCGTTCTGTTGTCCACTGAAACGCTGATAAGCCAGACATATTGGCATAGGACTCAGAACTCACCTCTTGAATCTTGCCCGCCTGAACTGCAAGTTTCTGGGTAGTATCATGCAACTGATTGGTTATTTGATGCATTTGTAGCCATGTCGAAATCAAGATGGCGGGAGAGGGTTGAAACGTTGACTCTCGCCAGGGGCTTCTTTATACAGTGTTTTTACCCCTAACATCGCCACTGATGTACCCCTCTTACATAACGTCACGAGAACTGATCACGGTTAAGCCAGTCTGAACCATGCCTGTGCTACCCATTCAAATCGGTCGTAGATATTAGGCATGATAATAGAATAACTCTTGCAAAGTAGACCAAACCATACATTGCTAAATCGTGTCCATCTCCTTCCCGATAACCTGCAACGCCTTCCTTGCAAGTGTTCTCGCATCTACCTCCATTGCATCCCCACCCTCTTCCAGAGCACCGATATGAGGCCGTAGAACATTGCCTCTTCTCTCCTGATTGGTCTCTGGCGGCAAGGAATTCGTACTCACTCATGCCGATGGCGTCTTCCGAGGGATAGAAGCGATTTCACACAACACCGAATAGAAATAGAAGGTATGAGCCACTGGCGACCGTTTCACCACATCCGCAATGAGTGCAGACGGTGAAAGACCGACATCAACAGCTGAGCAGACGTTCAGCGCAAATAAGATTATAGAGCAAAGGAACAAGTACCGGGTTGAGAATCACTAAACTTCGATGGCGACTGACAGTATGGCCCACAGGGTTCCTGACCAAAGCCGTAAATCCAGGACCTCATGGAGTACATACAACAGTTCGTCTTCACGAGCCCTGTCAAAGTTGGTTCAGCAACAGAAAATAATGCGACATACCTCGGGAAAGGAATATTTCCGCGAAGAGCCTCGTCAGCAACATAGCTCACCATAGTAGTTTTGCATCGATCAAGCAGTACACTCGTACTTTAGCTTTATCGGTATTGAATAGGCCTGAGCACGAAACCAAATGAGCATTGGCAGACCAAGGACATCATCAATGACACATACCGAGAAGACAGCTTCCAAAGAGATGTGAAATGGGGACTGCACCATTTGAGCTTCATGGTCAAGTTCTGCACGCTTAGACCAATGCCAGGCCCAATTATCCCGACTATTTCTGACACGGTAGCACTTGCAGCCGTGGCGACCATTCCAGCAACCCCACCGACACCCAGACCATAATTGGATCCTGATGGTGCAGCACTATCACCCGTATGAGAAATCCCGACCCCCATCATCTGCGCGCTCACTCCGAGTAGAGCGGGTTTGCGAGGAGACAGATATCTTCGAAGACAGAGAATACATCTTTGGCACAAGGCCCTAACGCTTTGGTGCTACCGTCCGGAAGCGTCGCCTCAGACAGCTCCAGAGTGTCGTCGCTCTCTCGACGATCCTCATTGACCATTTTTTTTCAAAGATAAACATGACCAGTTGGCGCAGGGTGGCTGCTGCTGTTGAAGAGACTACCGCGATCCTAGAATCCTGCAGTTTAAAACAGAGAAGCAATGCCTTTGACAGGTAATCAGATAGGTACCAGGAAGTATAGACAGAATGTACCTCTCCCAGGAGCTCTTCGTGTATCGAAGGAAAATTAGTGATCAAAGAGACCAAGGTTTGCAGGATCCGAAGTTGAATGTCCACGCCTTGGCTCATGGCATCGTTCATCGTGCTTACGATGAGTGGGACAACAGACTGTGATACAGCCTTGAGGGCTATCAAGCGCTGCAGCGACCCCAACGAGATGGCGACTACTTTCGCGTTTTTGGTCGCACACCCCATGAACACTGGACGGAGAAGATCATCTGACTGTGCGCTGTCTGTGGGTGAACGATGAAGAAAGTGAGGCGCGTTTGAATGGAATCGCGTACCAGACGCCAAAGATGCTGTCGCTTGTTCTGGAGAGGACCTAAGTATCGCAAGCGACTTCTCTGCTGCCTTTGCGTGGACATAGTAAGACGCCAGTACATGGGATGAGCACTTTCCGTCGTACCTCGCGTATTTCTGGATGCTTTCTCCTGGACTCGCTAGCAAGGGACTTTAGACGAAGGTATAAGTGGATCGGGCGGATTATGGTTGTAAACCAAACACACTTGCAATCCAGTCACTGCTAAGAGGGCTGATCAGTGATGAACCCATCTCGTCCTTGCGTTATTCTGAACGAGATTTGGACGAGTCCTGACAAGTTTTGTCAATTACAGGGGAACACGGCCCAGTGCGCAGAAGATCAAGGATTGAATGAAATTGACAACTGACGCCGGTTGAGTGATGAATTCACAATTGTGTTTGGGAAAGTGTATTACGGGCTCTTGTGGGCTCTATTTCCATCCAGTGCATGTCCCATAATCGAAACATACTTGCTTCAACATGTTCAATTAAGTCTTGAATCTGACCTTGATGAATGTACTCTGAGAGCTCTCCCGCCAGTGTCGTAACTGTGAGTTAGTGTCACGGTGATAGTATGCACGTGATTATGTAAGGATAGCAACTGATTCCCGGGGCTTTTCCCGCTCAGTGAATGTCTGATAATTACTCGTAGAGTCGTACTCAACTCGTACTACTTAGTACTTTCCCTGGAATGAGCGCCAGCCCTACCAGGCCTAGCTCTAAGCGCATTAAACTCGAGTCGTCTCCGACATCTCCGCCGCTGTCAAATGACCCTTCGACTTTGAATGATGAAGACCTAGGTCATGATCACTGCGTCATTTGTCTGCAACCCTTGGTTGACCGAACTGTTATTCCAACTTGCTCCCATGAGTTCTGCTTTGAATGCATTTCGATTTGGGCAGGTTAGCCCAGCGCTCCGTTTCTACTCCAGCAATTGGTGACCATGTTTTCTAGAGCAATCTCAAAAGTGTCCATTGTGCTCCCAGTTGATCGGTGAATATCTTATACATCATATACGCTCGCAGTTCGATTATCAAAAACATTATTTGCCCCCACCACGTTCCTCGTCACCACAGTTATTACCCACGGGGGAATCTCGTGTACGAGTTGCCCGACGGGCACGTAGGAATCGCTACTGGGGCCGCAGGGATCGTTACGACGCTGATGAACTTGAACGAGCAATCGCCAGAAGACGTTGGGTGTACCAAAGTCATCTCTATGCAAAGGTGTGTGCTTCTTCTTGCATTTACACACGCGTCTCATCTCGCCCAGCATGTCGCGTCTAACACATTCACCCGGTATCGTCCTTACCCCAGTCCAGCCCAGTTTGCGGCATCTCCAGACATGATAAGTCGAGCCACCATCTTTCTCCGTCGTGAACTGCGCGTTTGGCAAAATCTTGATGTTGAGGTATGTGTATTGTAGTCGCTTGTGTGCTACTCTGCGCCTTACTTGCATCGCTGACATATATTATAGTTCCTCACGACGTTTATCATTTCTCTCATGAAATCAATAGACATACGAGCTGAATCTGCCGTCAAACTTCTCTCCGAGTTCCTAGACATAGACACTTCTTATATCGAGGGCCAGAGGCACCCGAACGCCGAACATTTTGCACATGGTTAGTGGTTTCTTCTCATCCATATGTAACTCTGTTCTGTATTTCTAACTTTGTCCTAGAGATATACTGTTATATGCGGAGTGGTCGTGATTTATCAATTTATGACAATTTGGTGCAGGTGTGATACTTTCTCTGAACAAACTCGGGGATCCGCGCTGAATTGTGCAGTATGATACCTCCCCAGATCCTCCGCCCCACGAGCAGGAAAGAGAGAATCGGTGGTGTTATGATTCCCGTTCTCGATCCCGGTCGCCCCATCACCGTCATCATCGGTTCCGATCTCGATCTCCGCTATCTCGACCTCCTTCCCCAACCCTGCGTCCTGAGCACATAAGAACTCCTCCCGCAACCCACCTTCAAGAAAGCTCTCCAGACTATTTCTCCCAAGATCGCAGGAACCATCGACGAACTCACAGCGTCAGCGAGTGTCGAGGTATACCTGATACCTCGAATGATCGACATAGTCACCTTGACAACACTCGGGAGCAGCTGACGACTTCTACGAAGGCGAAAGGAAAAGAACCAGAAGGTCGTAACACATCTCTTCGGGGCAAGAGTGAACATACCTCGTGTAGCACGCTACCATGCATAACAGGAGAACCTGTGCCGTACGCTGTTGTCAAATCCAAACAGACAGCGGAATCATATACCCCCGGAAACCGGAAGTTCAATACGCCTGTAGAGTTCGATCTTAGACCCTCCCTTGTCCTCCCCGCACCGGCTCGTGTTCCAGTAGATGCTGCTGATAAGATGGACATCGATTCAGAGCCTGTAGCTCCTACGTCACATAAACGCCCAAGCACGCCCGGTCGTCCTCCTCGAAACCGCACTTTACTAGCATCAGTCCAGGCTCATCTCTCCCAATCCACACCATCGAGAAGCAAGCATCTCGCAGGCGCAACCGCACGGAAGAACGATGTCGCTCCTGAATTTTTACCTCATCCATCAGGATACCGAGATGCCCGTGATGAGAGCGGTAGTGGTGATGGTACGCCTGTCCTTCTTTCGCAGTTGTCGAACCTTCCTGCCAATGCGCCGCCTGCTTCGTTGTCTTCTCATCCTTCTCTCGAGCGGCGCTCAGATATATCGATGCCTCTCGGGGAAGAACGTACGTCGGCGGCAGGGCATCAACGCGAAAGGATCCGGAACTTGTTTTCCGATTCTATCGCTAAATGCACCGATGAAAAAAACACGTTAGCTGGAGAGGAAGCTACCGCTTGTCCGTGCGGTACGCCGTGCGGAGGCACAGATAAATACAGAAACAAAGGTAAAGAAGAACAGCGCACCAACACATCGCCGTGCCTTGTCATCAATCCTGGAACCGTCGATGCGCATCCCGCCCCTTCATCGGGACTACCCCCAAACCTAAACCCTATTTCAGTGTCGCACAACTCTAATCACGTCGATATCCTTTTGGATGTGGCGGAGCATATCCAGCGTGGCAATCGGGAAGTCGCGACATATGAATATAGGAACAAAAAAACCGCACCATCAGCACGCACTTCCACAGATACGCGGGCAGTGTTGTTGCAGAGACTTGAAGAGGAGCAACGGCTGGCTCAGAGGGATGTTGCGACCCCGATCTCAAGCTCTGCGTCGTTAACTGTAGATCCCCCGTTGGCACGTCCTCCCGGGGGTGAGGAAGCTTCTGCGCTGGAGACGAGGCTGCGGACCCGGGCCTTATTGCGCGTCCGTCTTGCGGCGATCAAAAGCAGTTCCAATGCCACTGCGGTTGAATTGTAATTCATTTATTTTGGAGAAGAGGGTGACGGGGGCATTAGTCGCAAGACCGTGGGGTACATCCTCACCCAGCTAGTGGATGGTTCCATTGATCTTGGACCTGATATGATTGCATTTTTTTTTTCACAATATATCTTGGTGCATGGATCGCAACATGATGTCACGCGTAACGGAATTCTCCCGTTCACAACCGTGTTTAACTTTTCCTGGAAGTAGTAGTACACCTGGATCTATAGTACCTTCTTCAGAGTCGCGCCGGGTAATGAATTAGCATTAATGGTTATAATTGAGTAACGGTAGCTGGCAACTGCAAGGTATCAAATCGGTAGCGTTAATTGAACTATGGAGTTCGGTATGCCAAAGTTAAATGTATTGTTTGGCAAGATGCTGAAGATAATGGTAATAGAGATAGTTCTGTGAAGATGGGGAAGCGCTCGAAAAGAATGACATATAAGTGGTAAAAGAACAGTGGTTATAAAGGCTGTACTGAGATTAGTATGACGGAATTCCGTAGGGATAGACGATTAAGACAGGAGAGACGATATGGATAAAAAAGGGTGTGCGGCGACGATCGAACAGACAACAATAACGCAAACGAACGAGAGCGCGGAGAAAAAAACGAGTGATTAAAGTTGTACTTTTGTACGGTGGTTGCGGTAAGGAACGAGCATGGTATATCGGGGCTTGTTAGGGAAACTCATCATTTTTTTCTTCATGGAATGCGTGAATATTTCAATCGTGAATCGAAATGAGCGCAAAAGCGTCAGCGTCAGCATCATGCACTGGTGCGGAAAGAGATTATCAACGGTTCCGGCGGGGTTCGTCATCGTCTAAGCGCTTGGAGCTGGCGTCTTTAGATGAGGACTCGCGTGCAGGGTACCCTCTGGGATCGATTATATCACGGAAAGTGTTGAATGGACGCAGAACTGAGGGTGAGGTGAGCTGGCGCTCGCCTGAAAACGGACGATATTCCCTTGTGCTGTGCAATTCTGGGGAGACGTGGGGAGCAAAGCGATCACGAGATTCAGAGGAGAGGAATCTCCCAGACCTTGATGGACTCGAAAATGAAGCGAACTCCGGGCGGGTGAATGGCGCGAAGCTATTCGGATCCCACTGCGGCTGGGGTTGCAGTGCGAAAGGAGGCGGGATGCCTGTCACTGTGGAGATGCGCTCTGTGTGGCGTGTGGGCTCGTGTTGGTGCATAATGCTGGTAGAAGATAGTTGAGAGGGAGGTAGTGAGGACGTTGGTGACACATAAGGGTCAGTACTGATGCGTGATTCCAAGGCACTAAAGTGAATGGGTGGGAGCACTCGCGAGGAGGGAGGGGACTGTGCGCCCTCGTGCATTAAAAATGAGCGTGACGCAAGGATGCGGGGAACAGGTTCGCGTAGCGTGAGGCTGGGAAAGTCCTCAAGGCCGCGAGAGCTGCGGTTTTGCATTGATGAGGTGGAGTCGGGGCTCGCTGCAATGTGGGGATACTCTTCTGAAGAGGTGGGGTAGGGTGACGTGCACCGTCCGGGTATACCAGGACCTGAAAGCCCAGGATCAAGTGGCGGACCTGATCTAGGCACGGGGTTCCGCGGAGCACAAGCTCCTGAAATGTCGGGGAATGATTCCGCCATACCAACATCAAGAGCTGTATGGGAGGAAGAAGTTGATTGCGGAGCGCCTGGGAAGGGCCCAAAATGAGCTGGACGAGATAACGGTGCAGAATCACTCTGGGGACGCCTGGCTTTCTGGCGTTGGTTCTACCACGAATCGATATGAGTTTCAACAAAAGAGTAGGAAAAAAGCTGGAGGAACTAACTTGGAACCAGATCTGTCATGAAGATTTGTGAGCAAGGTATGATATTCACATGAGCATGTTACATACTTGGACTTTGCGAGCACTGAGACCAATTTGGCGGCCTACCTCCTCACGCATTGTTGTTGTCGGGAAGCGAGACTAGAGGAAACAATTAGACGCCTTGATAAGGTTGGTTTGTGAACGAAGAAACATACCTGTGCGAGGAGTGCGTGTAAGACAGCAGATTGGTGCGGAGTCGTGAGAGTGCGTGTACGTTTCTTCTTAGGAGCTGGAGCGGTTTGAGAAGATAGTTCTGACTGTTGTTCTGGCTCTGTTTCGTTGTCTGCCATACCACTTTGTGATGAAGAGTCAGAGGCGGAAGAAGGTTGTTCGACAGTCATATTTTCTGAGTTGCTCCTTCGTGTACGTTTGTTGGTATCGTGATGAGGAAGTCGATGCTCGTATTGAATGCGTCGTGAAGGAATCGGAGAGGGCGTATGACAGTTTGATGGAATATTAGCCGTCGTCGGAGTAGACATTGAATAAAACGAAATAAATGAATGAAAAAAGGTGTTGGTTAGTTGTGAAATTAAGAACACATGGACAACCTTTGAAGCTGAAATGAGAGAGATAATGAATGGGTCGGGTTACGGTCAACTTGAGAATTTGACAATTGTAAAGGTAGTTTATGTATATATCCCCGATTTCCTTACGTGTCATTCCCGAACGCCTCCACCCGGCAACGTTTTCTTACCAATAAAAAAAAGTTACATGCTTTTTCTTCAGGAACAATCCTATTTCGGCTCATATTAAAGGTCCATTAATTCCTCATTTAAACTCCGTGGCTGTGAAAATGATATCGAGAAGTATTCATTTCACTCTAGTCCATGGGAATTCTATCCCGTAATCGTCCGATACCCCACGCGATTAACTTTAATCAACTCCAGTCCGCGATGCCACGATACAACTAATCACCATGACATTCATAACATTAAAATACATAGTCTACACCTCCAAAGGCACCCGTCGGCACGCTCATCTACTTTCTCATATATGTCTCACTCGTCGTGACGCAGTCGTATACACTTCATCATGACATGTGAGTCATGCACAGCTCGTCGCCTCACCTTCAATATTTCACTATATAAACAATCACCGCCGCATGCCTAACCAAGGCAATCTTGTTCCTTTGCGCACCCATAATACGTAGTTACCCAAACCTAGATAGCCGCAAATTCACCGCTCCGGTGTGAAGCGTTGCAATGTGCGTCACGATGCCAAGTCCGAAGACGATGAGAACGGATCCAACTCGAACCCAGATACAGCCTGACGCCCAAAAAATAGTCAAGCATGAGGCTTATGCAGGGACAATGTTGATAGTTAATCAACGGCAATCTCCCCGTAAAATTACTGCGCCACGATGCAAAGATCAACCTGTGGAAAATTTAAGTACCATCAACCCTGAGGAGCGCCTCCACCACAACGTTGGAATTTGAAACCGATTGCGGTGGCACGTTAATTATATTCCGTTTGAAAGTAACGACCTGAGGTTTCGCTCGGGGTACTCCGCGGCCATTTGAATAGGTTTCCGCGCTGATTATAAAATGAATTGTCATAGTAAAATATTAATTGACGTCGAGCGTTATGGTTTTGAAATTCACATCGCACCTATAGCAGAACAACACACGGCGTCCGCAGCCTCGTGCCAGTACTACTGTGGAGCTGGGGTGAGAAAAGCCAAACCGACACGGACGAAGATCCCATAGGTTCCGCGGTAACCGCATAATGAAGTGGGATTATTCAGTGCTCGACGGTCACCTCGCCTAGACCCAGAGGTTACCACCTATATAAACCGCAAACCTCCGCTAATTTAGCAGGAGGTTCGTTTGAATCCCCCAGCCATAAACGACCTCTTTGAAATAATTCACTAGTGCGGGAATAAGTAGAATTTGTATGCAAGAAGAAGTCGTTACCTGGCGATGGACACGGACGATTCAGTAAAAAACGATACGGCATAAATAGAAACCCACCCTGAAACACCAATGAGTCGACTCGTGTATGAAACCAGAAATGCATCGACGTATCGATGACAAGCCATATGGACGATACTCGCCAACCGCGCTAAGATTTAGATCATCATCCCTGCTTATCTCGGGCAGCATTACATAATCAACTCACCAACTGTTCGAGCATGGACGATTTCGACTCTTTTGCAGCAAATGAAGATGGTGCCTCCACGTCGCAATCGGCTGTCGAAACTAGGCAGAACGGCCATGTTCCATCTGGAATTACGCTCGTCTTGCCCTCGCTTAAAGCCATCAAGGCCGCGAAGATGGGAAAGAAGTCAAAACTGAAAAACCTTAGTTCCATGCAGGATGCAGAGATGAAGAAAGCGCCAAGGTCTATGAAGCTCAAGCCACTGAAGGAGGTATTGGCGAAGCTGATTGGGCAGTTGAAGAAGTGAGTTGTTGTTTCTGAGAGGGGTGTGTTGTTTTATGCGCATACTGATGGATGTGTGGCATTACAGGAAGGATGATTATGCATTTTTTATTTCCCCTGTGGATCCCTCACGAGTCCAAGGATACGCCGAAATGATTAAACATCCTATGGATCTCGGGACGATGTCTACGAAAGTTGCCAGGGGAAAGTACCGTTCATTGGAAGAGTTTACTGTGAGTAATACTCCACCTCAACCCTGCTGCAGTGGATCGTCTCCACGCCTTCCATACGGTCTTGCGATTCAGACAATCAAGTTTTAACACAAACAATTTTAAATAAACAAGGGCTGGACTGCATGGTTGGATGGAACCGTTGCAGAGGGGGCATCACGCGACACGAGCTGAACTCTACATTTTTTCTTTTTCTCCAGACAGACTTCCGCCTAGTCGTCAACAATGCCAAAATATTCAATCCTCCAGGAACGATCTATCACACGGAAGCGGAACGCCTTGAAGCATGGGGACTCGACCACATCGCCAAGGCATCTGCGCATGTTATTGAATACGAGACGGATTGGAACATTGATGTGGAGCAGGATGAGGATGCTGCTTTGAATATTGATGAGGATGACGATCATATCACGGCATCCACTCCGAGAGAGATTGAAGGGAGTCAAGTTGCCGCGTCGCCCGCCCCGTCTTCTGTTCCCCAACAGTACATCAGGCGTGGGCCTCGAGGACCTTACAAGAAGGGTGCATCAGTGGGTATCTCAGAGGGCATAGATGCAGAAGGGAGACTTCCTGGCTCCAAGGAAGGTGTTGGGGCATTTCCCCCTGGTTCTGACTGGGCAAAAATGATGGTTGCGCTGAAAATCAAAGGTATTGTTTTCGGAGCAGCATTTTGAGTCAAAGTTTCTAATGTTACTTTCGCTTCAAGGCAAGCGTTATAGAACTAAAAAAGAACGTCTGAGAATTGAGAAGGAGGGCCTGCCCCATCTTCATGACGGTAGTCTCGACTACACAGAGGGTGCGAAACTTCCTACTCATACATGCTGCACATTTCTAACGATATATTAGTGGAAGATCCGTTTTCCCTTCTCAACGTCTTGGTGCCTGAACCGCTATTTAAACCTCAACTTAATCCACTTTACCCTTCTCTTCGAACAGATGATACAGCGCAACCCCTCTTTCCAGCGCCAGTTAATGTGCCTTCCACACGTCCCTCTCCAACACTAGCCACTCTTGCGGCCTCAACTTCGCAATCCACACCACGACGCAGGCATTGGACGATTGTCCGCAATGCTTCAACACGGGCAAAACTGAAAGAGAAAGAAGATGAAGAGCCTCAGTCAACAGAATCCCAACGCGATCCATTTCCATCTGATTTTGGTTCTTTTGCAGCGTTAGGAGCAGAGTTAGGTGCGTCGGCATGTTCCGAAGAGAAACTGGCTACGTCTATACGAGCCAGTATTGAGAACCGGCCCATTACAAGAAGTTTGAAAGCCGGGGTTGACAGCGAGTACTGGACGGATGAGAAAGCCGAGGAGGCATGGGACTACGTACGGGACGTAGTATACGGTGGAGTTAATGGCTTCGCCTACGTTAGAAGCATAGCCGAATTCGTTCGCCCGCCAGAAGATATTTCTGTGAGTCACCCTTCATTACTTTTCCGAAGTTGTTCGACCGCTTACGTGACACAGCACCAGACGGAACATACCCACCCCCTTGGCACGTCCGTGGCCCGATACGTGGAGCAACATCTAGTTGATGTCGTCACTCGTGGCCGGCACGAGCTACTTTGTACCACAGCGGCATATCTGCACTCAGTCTTGAAAGAGCCTCTGTCACCAGCGATGGAAGCACAAATGGCAGCCAGCCTCACATTCCGGCCAACAGTATTCCGTCTAATACAGGCATTACAACACGAGCAGTTGGATATGGCAGCGCTTATCCGAACTCCGGATGAGTTGGAGAAAGCTGGTTTAAGTGACCTCGGAATTCCCGAGGGTCCTGCAGTCTTAGAACAGGCATTGGAGTGTGCCGTTCAAGCGCTAGAGGAGCTTGACCGGAAGGTACAGCAAAATGATGGGGTGAAGGTTGAGGACGATGCGATGGATATGGATGGGGCAGAGGAGGACCCTGTAGCTAAGAAGCTGAGGTTGACGTTGTTGGCGCTTGCAAAACGCGCCCCACTTGACAAGATTGCGCCTTTACCTGCTGCGCTCGTTCCAGCACATATTCGGAAGATTGTACCGACTATTTAGGACGCTTTTCTTATTTTATTTGCGACAGACAGCCTTAGGAATGGACTACATTAGATACTTTACGTGTAAGCATGGTTGTAGAAGTAATAACGCTGAACAAACGCTGAGATTAGACTTTTTCGACGGATTTGGATCTGCACAGTCTTCTCATCCCAACCAGGTTGATACAGTCTAGTCAGTGGCTCATTTGCGGATTTTGCATAATGGTTCGTCATTAGATGAATGATAGACTCGCGGACGAGCTAACGCACAGTGATCCAACTTCCACTCCTCATATTCTCGTCTGACGACACTGGTTGTTTGCTTCTTTCATATCCATTCGCCGTGACATAGGTCAGGCTAATGCCAATCACCGAGCATCTTCTATGTCGGATAAATCGTATGCTCGACGAATCTCCTCACTCACATGAATCATAGTAATGCACCCCAGTGTTGCCATGTAAGTAGTACGGGTACAGCTCACTGACAAGCTGAGGATTAGTGCTGCGCAAGGCTATCACTGGCAATACAATCATTTTAAGACCTCCGACATCGCTGACTTCATCATAAGATGGAGTTGGTGGGAACGCCGTCACATTAGTAACCTTCGTGGTGGATTCCGTAGCTTGCTCCCGGACTACCGATAATCATTGCTTCAGTCGTTTTCGATACAGGTAAGCAGTCCATCTTTGTATCGAGATGTTCAATCTACAGCCAGCCGATTCCCAGCTTCGGCAACACGATGCAAAGCACCGGCTACGATCATCACCTGAGGAGTTTTCGCAGATGTCGGGACAGTTCCACAACCGTTCACACAATTGCCGTCGGATTGCTCCCTGCATTCTCTTTATATGTCGTCCCATGCTTGCGGGAGCGCATGCGCCAGAGATCGACGAACCTACCATGACATCAAACTTTCTCACTGTCCATGCTTTTATCATTCACTTCATACCATTCCTCTCACCCGCGCTCGCGCTCCCGGAGTCCTCTGCGCGTATTGTACACGTCATCCATTAGAGTTCTGGCTGCCTTCTTGTTCGGCATTTCGGTTTCTGTCCATACTTTGATATATCTGTACTGGTATGTATTCGCCCGTACCGAAGATCTTGGGTATTTGCAAAGGTGAATCTCGGCGCTGAATTCAAACCATATCATAATGTACGATTCCAACCTCATATGTGTATATTGATATATGATTACTGTTATCACCATCTTAGCGCTGTGTCGCCGCGCTCTTTATACTTATCCGTGATAATCGTCACCTCTGTCAGCGGTGCGCTGTATTCTTGGTCGAGAAATTTCTGCATATTCCTCCGTGTGGTCTTGCATATTTGATCATCTCCCTGCACACCTGACATCAAAATCAATTAATGCCTGTTCAGATTGAAGGCAGCGTAACCTACAGACAAGAGAACGTTCAATGATTGCATACAGACGGGCGAGTGCTTCGTCGAGTGCCGTTTCCCCCTTATTCCTTGCCATTCGGACAGCTGTCATGACCTGGTCAATGAGCTTGGTGTATAACTCTTGAGCCTTCTTTGGACTGAATCGTTCCTCATTTAGATCCTGGGCCTATTGTAAGACAACATTTCTGATCTTTACAATAAGTCGGGGTTGTACCCACCTTCATCCGTCGATACATTCCCACACCAGATTCCCTTCCAACAACACAATAGTGGTCCTCCAGTGCGGCGCGCATAAGTCCCTTCAAGGACCCACAAAAGTCCCTGCGACGACACGTTCGATATGTAAACAGATCGTGACGACGGCGGAAGACCTTACCGTTGCATTGTCAAAATGGCTGACATGTACTGGTCTCGTGCAGGATTCATGATATCAAATGGGTGTATAAAGTTACATGCATTGTCGATGTGTGGGGCGATTGTTGTTGTTCGTTGGGCTCGATTCTCTGCACAGAAATGAGGTTGACATTTAGGTTACTTCATCCGTGGAGTAGAATACTTACTGATGGCTCTGATTGTTTCATTGAAACGATCCGAGATATCCTTCAATCAAGTCCATAAGTCGTAAATCGTACGCTGTGCGCCATGGTGCTTACCACAACAAGTGAATTGATTTCCGTTCTTAGAAAATCGTTAAATAACCTATGCCACACACTTTCACGACAATTCAGATGAGCAACTTCACTGTCACTAAGCGACAAACCTTGATGCATTGCCCTCTAATATGCCAAGGGTGAGGTCCTCGTTGAGATCTGTTGATCGCCATTCACCCTCTCGGCGCATAAGAGTACGGTAGCTGCGCCATTGATGATGCTCTCCAAGCACCTTGATGGTGTTGAGACTGCGCTCAGATGCCTAGTGGATGGTCAATATTTCGTGAACACTAACCAGTCATTGCAAACGAGTGTGATGCGACCGATGCCCACCTTTCCGGCTTCAATTCGGAGAGATTGTTCCAGTTCATTTATGCTGTTGTCCATCTTGGTTCCTGAAGTTCGCCATATCTCGTCGACAGTCTTTTGCTTGAATTAGTAGGTTCGTACTATAAAATAATCTCACGACTTACATCTTTGAGAGTCTCCATCAGACCTCTTGCTGCATCCTCATAGGCTGCGAGCCTCGAATCCCGCCGTGAAGAAAGAAAGTAGCTCTCAATTGATTCCCATAGTAAAGCTGACCTGTGCGCGTGAGCATTGATATCTGAGATGGCTTTCTTGCAACCAAAATCGTGAATGTAACGACACAACTGCGGAATACCAGTCTAGACTCAGAAGATTATCAGCAATAATATTTCGGTTAGCCAGAGGCGAGACGAACATCTTCGAGATCAGTAAAGACCACCGGAGCTCGGTGTCGTTTATTCGTCACCAAAAGTTGGGTGTAGTCCATGCTTCCAATGCAGAAAATAGGTAGCGAAGGAGGTTGACAGGTAGAGTCCTGACAAAAGAAAAATCGACTATGTTACATTGCAGAAAGTTGATCTACATACCTGCTTAATACTACAGTACACTTGACGATAGAGCTCCAGAAAGACATTTCGTGCCCGAGCAGATCGTTGGTGCTGACAAAATGCTCATGAGTAATATCAAGACACTAAATAGGTATACGCACTGCAATGTACGTGTCTTTGGTAGCATTTGCCAGTTGCAATTGTCTGGTTGTCTGGTCTTTCTGGATCGCAAATTAGGTCAGACCCATTCATGTACTCAGACTAAATGAATGTCAAACCATTTCTCTGGTCGAGTGTAGACGCTGCGACAGTCCCGCAAACTCGGGACCATCTTTCGGAGCCATGTAGAACTCGAGAAAGAACACGTTGGATTGTTTATCTTGCTCATCCAGGCTTTCGCTGAGACGGTCAATTTCCTACTGCATGCATAAGTGCCGTGAAGTTGATGTTGACTTAACCTAGCATATGTACCTGGCACATTTTCTGAATTATCTGGCGTTGGTTTGAACCAAGATGATGCAACTGGTCCTCGTTGATTCGTATCTAATATAAATGTGTGAGGTACATGAACGGAGGGAACGACGGCGACATACGTCCGCTCCGGTAAGCAAGATCAACAGCGATTCTACGCGGCCATCTATTGCGATCATTTGATGCAAGCTGTAACACGTGGGCACACAGTTCCTGGAAGTTGTGAGCACTTACAATTTCTCAAAGTAGATGTGCATGGCCTAGCGATGGAATTGACAAGTCAAATCATATCAGTATATTCATCTGTCTTACCTCGTCATCAGCTGCACGCTTGATGTCTGCCACTGATACAAATATTAGTGTTAAGATGAAGCTATTCATCTCGCTTTTCGAACCTAGTATTACTACTTCGACATTTTTCAAGTACTCCTTAGTACGCTTAGTTCTGCGAAGATGCTGTCAGTGCAAATAAATCAATATCTACAGCGTTACAAAACCTTGTTTTGTTGGCATCCCCGAAACCAGGAACGTCCACAAGTGTGACCGCACCAGATGCGAGCACTTCGAACGCTCCGTAAATACGAACACTAAAATTGAAAATGAGGGCACTGCACGATCAGTGTCGCTGAGATGTTTACCTGTCTACCAGATGCCATAGGGACGGTTCCGACTGGAGGACATTGAATGATCACAGGGTCATCCACAGTTTTGAGAATTAGGTGACGTACCAGCTGTTCCTCCAACGAAGTCAGATACGGCCGGAGCTGTGCGTGGTTTAGAGATATCAACGGAGTATGGAATGTTCATTGTCAACTTTCCTGCAGCTCCAGACTGTCAAAGCCAGTGCCCGTCGTCTGAATGTTGGTACCAAGTATGGACACCACAGGTTCATGGTCCAGGAGTGTATGTACGTCTTGATGAGGCGGGGGGAATGATAGTGTACGAAGGCTGCAGCAAGCAATAGTCAATGAAAATTCAGATTTTGAAGTCACGCCTTACTGAGGATAAACCTGTACCAACAGCGATATCAGCATAGATTATGTAGTAGCATCGAAATAGATAATTGATACATTCCTCTTTTAAAGTCTTCCATGCATCCAACGCAGGTCTGAGATCATCACGTCCGATATTCAAACCACCACCTTCACAAACAGCGCTGTACGTGATGGATGTGATGCGGAAACAAAGCTTTTTAGTGAACACCTACCTGATATCATCTAGAAGATTATGCAGAGTCTATGGAACATCAGCCCGTATGTCTGGTGCAAGAGAAGGTCACGAAAACTTACTTTTTTCCACTCATCTTTTTCTATAAACTTGACGCTTGCTCTCCAAGTTGAAGGGGGCAAATCTTCGTAGATTATTTCAGTCTGGACAGATGTACACGCGCTACTCACGCAACGTGCCAAAAGCGTCAGAATAAATAAGGGTGAAAGTATCAGTGAATAAGCTGACCCCTACGAGATGCAGTTCAGTTATAGTTCCGATCAGTGAGCGCTTAAGCTTAACGTAGTAATGTTAGGTGACAATAATCACTCACGTCTGCTCGCGTTGATAATACTGGGGCTCCCAATATGGCATTAATAGCCGTGCTTTTTCCAGCTCCTGTCCTACCGATAAAGGCGAGTTTCCTCCTTCGAGGTTTGCAGTTGCCGAGATCGTGTGCTTCCGCCTTCCATCCCTGCAGGTCCTTGTCGTAACCCCGGCGTCCACTTGGACCAACTTTCTCGACCTCTCGTTCCAAGTTCTTATTCATGCGCCAGATGAGATTGTAACATGACTGTGCGTCATGTGGTAATGACATGTATATTCCGCGATCCTCAACTTCCGAACCGCACACTTCAACTTGTCCCTCCATAGACCGCCGTGGGTCAGTGATCACTTGACACAGGAATTATTGAAGCTTGGCCGGGAGGGTTGGAGTCGAAAGCTTATATCTTATCGATGAAAGTGCCTCGAACCAAGCTGATCGATTCTGATTCCTCAGGTCTCCCAGCATGAACCCTCCGATATCAAACGTGCAATGAGGTTGCAACGAGGTGTGGAATTTCCAGCTACCCGGCTCGCAACTTCCGCAACCATGATGTTGGATTAATATCAGGAGAGCTCAAAGTTAAAACGCCGCCAGCGCCCAACGAAATTACCTAGAATAAATAGAAGTAAATATGGAGTAAAGGCGGCACTAAGCTTGAACTCCCTAATCCTCAGCATTAATCTCTGAATCTTTTCACGCCTAAACCTTTGAGACGAACAGCCCACCAGTCCATCAGACTATCTTCCATCTCGTCCATAAGCAGCTTACTGGTGGCAGTGGTATTGCAAACTGTTAATCACGTCTAGATCAATCCATGATAGGGAAGCTTCATTAAATCACTGCCTTTGTACGTACCCCACCAGGACGACCTTTCTTGAAGACATCATCCAATCTCATTGGAAATGTTTTCTTATTGTTTTACCACACTGCTGTTGGCGATGAGCCGAGCCCCAATGAGGAGATCTACTTTGCTGCGGCGATCAATTTCTGGATTTATCATAGGCTCTGTATGGTCTGTCAACACCAGGTTTTTCTGTGTTTTATGACAACACAATTGATGGTCGATGGAGATTGGGTTGCACATGCACTGCAGTTACGTTGCCAGGCTGTAAAGACAATATGCAAGGAGATTCCACTGGAACAATAGATCGCTGATAGCTTTTGTTAACTGCCCGGGTGGTTCATATAACTTGACAATGGAAACTGAGATGCCGCACACACATGGACCCTGATAGAGATTATACTAAAATGATCTTCTGTAGCATTGAAACTATCCACAATGTACAGTTCGAAACACTTTGATAGTCATGTTCGTTTCTGGTATGCTCTTGACGACCTTATTCTTCCTCGAGGTCGCTGGAATCTGTGTCATTGTTACGTCGACTGTAGGTCGGCGTGTGCGAACTAGGATAGGTCTTCTCAGCGACGACTCGAGTGAGTCTACTGAAGCTGAGCGTGGTCTGGCCTTGATGGAACGTCAAGGATTCCTCCGGCGATCTCGGTAAGACGGCGCTCGTCGAGATGCAGGGCTAGCGGATACGTGCAAAGTCGTATGGGAGCGGCTTTGAAGTGCGGTCTCACACAAGGAAGCGGTTAAGCTTAGATGAGCAAGTTCTGTGGTAGAACCTAGTAGATTAAAGTGAAGTATAATCTACAACAATGTATGTACTTATACATAGTGTATCTAAGTGTTCAAGCTCAGTCTGTAATCTATAGTATATCTCTAATCTAAGATAACCAGACATGAGGTTAGATAAAGTACATGAGGCTTAACCTCTGATCATACATGCGGCGCCAAGGGCAGCTGCGCATAGGTACAGGAAGCGCCAAGCGCTCCGGGTCTTCATACATGAGGCGCCTAGGGCGCTCCGGATCTTCATGAAGCGACATGCTGTATACATGCGCTGATCTAGGGTGTCCATGAGGCGTACAGCCTCCATGGAACAGGTACAAGGCCGTCTAGGCCAGGGGCGGGGTCATAGCGCCATGAGGCGGGGTCATAGCGGTCCAAACCGCTGTCTTTCTAGGCGCAGGCGGCGCACCGCCGCGCGGGGAGTCTAGCAGAGCGGGGGCAGGCGTAGGGAGAGCTGGGGCTCTAGTAGGTGTTACAGATCCCTGTAACAGTCATCCTGCACAAAGAGTGATCGAATACACAATTGGCCAGTTAGATGTAATAACTCACATTGATGTATATCGGCACCTCTGTGCCATCCTCGCTGAGAGGTGCCCACGGGACGGGAGGGGCAGTCCACCTAGCATATCCCTCTGTTAGTCAAATCATCAGCCTGATAACAGCAACGAATGCACTCACAACTGTTCGCCAGTACGTTCTGGGGATGGCGACGACTGCCTGTTACGAGATTGCCTGACATGCAAAAGTTCATACAGGGGTGTAAAGACATGCTCCTTCTTGCATCCGTGGCGCACTAATCCAGTTTGTGTGTTACTCCACCACTTAAACGAAGCTTCAAGACTGCCCACGGGTTCCACAACTGGCGCAGAAGCCAGGAGAGCCATACTGATCTTTTCCCCACCTGCACCTGTATTTGTAATGATTTTCTTTGCAATGGAATAATACTCACTTGTATCTGAGAGGTACAAGGAGAATGCAGGACAATAAAACACCTTCATCACAAGATTCTTTGACTGAAGAAGTTTAATGCTCGCAAGCTTCCCAAGAACGTCAGGCGTAATGTGCTTCATGCGAGGGTTGTTCATGAGCAAGACAGTGCCAGTGGTGCCTTTCTTAACCTCCCATGACCCTTTGATACTTGCTGCGGCAATCCCAGGCATGCCTCTGGTGGAAACGATCGGAACACGATCTCAGTATCAAGACAAGAGAATCGAATGCTAAACTCACGCTTGAGCATCAGCATTCATGTCGATGTTACGACACACGGTCGTGTGCGACTAGGATGATCTAAACAGCGACAACCACGACAGTGGTACCAAGTGCTGAGAGTCGTCGGCCTTTACAGACAAGCAAAGGTTGCATACTCAAACGTAGCTCGTGGTGGTTAACGAGGGGTTACACTGAGATGATAGCAGGGTTTACAGACAGTGAGAGGCGTCACTGAAGGTACGAGTCGATGTCGAGCAGGTAGCTTTAGCGGGACAAGGAGTTCAAGGGTAAACCTAGTAAGATTAAAGTAAGGAATGTCTACTGTTAATCTTCGACCTTATATAAGGCTACTCTTCGTATCTAAGCTCAGCCTAAAGCTGGGTTCTAATCTGCTTATCTACATGAGTCAGAGATAGTGTCCATGAGGCGGGCTTCTATCGTAGATAGGATCCATGAGGCATCCTTCTATCAGTACATGAGGCAGCACGAGGCTTGCCTTCTATCTTGATAACATAAATAGGTCTTCTAGACCTATGTCGTCATGTGTCGTCACGTGCGGTCCAGACCGCTTATCTAAGCCGGCAGTTGCCGCTTATCGTCTATCATCATCTATCGTCATAGAGCTGGTGAGACTCTGGTATCGTCTATAGCCGTGCGGTGGCAGAGGGCTGTTCTGCTGGCAGGGGACTCATGCCATGTTACTGTAACAGTCGATGCATTTCATGTTTTTAGACCAAGTCTTGAATTCAGACTCATCCGGACAGTCTTTGGCATGATGCTCATCAGATTCAGGGTTGATACCTGCCTTGATGAGGAGCTGTTTGAAGTTATCTGAGTAGATGTTGCCTTCGACGTTCAAGTTCCCTGTGTCTTTGTCGATACTTCCGTACGATCCAATCTTCTCAAGATCAACATGCAGTAGATGGGTATTTAAGCTACAACAACACACCTGAATTTCAGAGGGTGGGTCCCAGTTGGCATACTTTCCAGTTTGATTGTATATAAGTTCGATGAACTTTCGTTGTGCATGCAAATTGGGTTGCATTTTCCAGGACCACAGTTTCATGGCAAGTATGCTTTGTTGATGAATGACGAACTGGAGGTATAAAAAGAATGCCCAAGGCAGTGTGCTACTATATCAAGGCAGCATGTTCTGCGACCGAGATAGACAGGCGTTCAAACTTGCTGATCTTGCCATGACACGGCACGCTGAGTGTCAGTGAGGGCCGAATTCCGGGTCTAACATTGTATCATGTTGAACTTGAAGGACATCATTAGATTTGTTCAAACACCATCAGTCCACCTGAGTTCAAGTTGCCCATCTTACCATTTGTAAGCTTTATTACTATGCTTCTGAGCAATGACTTGCCTCGGTGAGATAGATTATGCACATGATTGAAGTTATCATGAGGAAGCGATGGAGCTAACACGGCGTCAATTGGAAGCCCTGCGCCGCAAAGACTTACCTAATATGGATTGCTCCTGCTGACTTCCAAGTTGCCAACCAATCCCTTACTGCAAGTATCTCTGTCAACTCCGGTTGATTCCTGCTTCCACTATTGCTATGCAATTCAGTACCTCGAGACTTGAGAGTGTTCCGGTCCGAGATTTGACCAAGGTAGTTAATTCACGCAATCGTAATTTGAGCACATGGTTTTTCACGATCTCCCATTGACAACAAGTAGGTTCAAATTGGCACTCAAATTGGATCTAGACCCGGACTGCAGTTAAAACTGGACGAAAGGGCCTCGTGTGCACCACATTCAGTGTAGCCTGCCTCGTGCTTCGCTTTCAAGTCGATGATTGCGCGGCCGATCGATCAGCCATGTCACTCAGCTCGTCATCTGCTCAAATTTCAATCTATCTGGTGCGTTCACTTATCCTGATCTGTTTTATGTTTACTACTGAGATATTCTTAGATGAGCTGGACATCCGATTTTGCGTTACTGGCGCCCTCCATCGACTGACGAGCGATATCTAGTTGGCATGATTACCGGTACTTCGAATTATGAGTGGACCGAGTCAAGGCCTCAGGTGGCGATCTTGACCTGACATTCGAACAATCTTTCCATCAGCTGTTTCGAGACATATTCCAATAGTGGGGCGTCCAGGTCCCATCTGAAGTGGATGAGACAAACCATTGGACCTCATCGGGCTCCGATCGCACTCTGCCATGTGCCTTCTTATCGATCCGCCTCTCTCAGCACCCTTACCATCGGCCTTTGAGAAAGATAAAAGTCGCAGGGCTTTTGAATGTGGTCATGAAGTCACCATTTCAAGTTACAAGTGTACAAACTAGTTTTGCGTCAGTAAAGATCTTTGCATTACTTGTATTCGAGTTGCTCATCATACCCCTTGTTACTGTACCAGTCATATTTTGTTTCCGCTTCGCCATACCTTTTCATGCATTCCACTCACTAGCTCGATCGTGATATCGATCATCGCTTTTTCGTGATCGTACAACCTGAGAGTGAAGACATCGTATCAACTTGGTACTCGATGACACGAGGCATTCCCTGACTACTGATTATTGATAACATTTCTAGGTTAATAACTTGGAGCCAGGCAGACCACATCTGAGGCGTTGGAGCATCGGAAAACACCGGTACCTCTACCAAAGGTCAATCCAACTCAAGTTTCTCTTTAAACTCGCTTCTTGATGTATACCTCCGAAATCGTGGTATTCTCTATCCAGCCGCCTCAATGCAACAATGGCCACCTAGATGTAGGTCAGTCCACAGTGGTTCAAGCGAATTTTCCTTTTGAGCGCGAGAATTTGGACTGATCGTAAATGGGGCGTTACACTGTTGCGGTCACGATGATGAGGCAGAAGCTGAGAGAGGCGAAGACATTCCCGAGACTGTACAACACTTTCTTCTCTCCTGCCCTCACTATGTACGCGAACGTCACACCCTCACGACCGCCCTAAGGAGACAAGCCTCCTCCATCACGTATCTACTCACCAACGTCAAGGCAACAGCGCACCTTATTCGTTTTGTAAACAGTACCGGGAGACTGAAATCCACCCTCGGTGACGTCCCTCCCCCTTCACACTGAAACTCGAATAACGTCTAGATATATTGCACAGATCGTCAAACGCAGTCTTGTACATTCGCCAGCAGCGCTAATACGCTCATTCAACCTCACTCGCCAACGCAAGGACAGGGCGCAGTTCCACAGCCCAACTGGAGATCAGACGAGAAGAGACGTAAGGGAAAGCCAAAGTCAAACCCCCACCAGCAGAGCATCAAGCTGGTCCCAACTTTCTACTTATTTTCTTACCGCAATCCATTTACTCCTTCGTGCAAAGATCGCCTTCGGCGATCCGAGTACTTGTATATTCCCCAACATACGACAGACCCATACATACTCACGAACAGTACCAACACAGGCCCGTGGAGTAGCAGACTTAGGCATCTAAAACGGCCGGCGGGAACGGCGGACTGATGGAGGTCACCCCTTCATCAGGGCATTTGCAATAGTAGGAGACGCGGCGGGGACACAGGTGTCCCCTTTCCTAGATACTAGTGTCCTACATAGGGTATTGTACCCCAACTGGACAATAATTGGATATAAAAAATAAAAATAAAAAAAGCTGAGAGGTCCATGTTCCTCATGATTAGGATGTTCGCTGATCACTCCCCACTTCTCAATGTCTGAGAAGTGGGGCGTCGTCAGTGAACAACATCTAGAAATTAGTCTAATAATCGAACTATGTGTCGGAAAAAAGGTAAGGGCCATTGTAATGCCACCGGCTTATAATGCCGGTCAGGTGACTTTCAAGGCACCTTAAAAGTGCCTTTTGATGCTCGGTGATGGCCTTTCGAGGCTCGGTGATGGCCTTTCGACCGTGAGACAATCATCATAATGCACCGTAACGTGCTATCGGCGCATAACTTTGTTCCATTCCGCATCAGCCTCGCGGCCAGCTGTCCCATCCTCTTTGTAAATATTGTACACTTGTACACTCTATTCATATTGTTACATCTGATGGCTCCGACTCGTACTTCTCGTCGAGAGAAGTACCATTATTCAGAAGAGACGCTAAAGGCCCAGCTGCCGTGCACTCATTGCGGCAAGTCATTCAAAACGCAGGGCTTCAAGAAACATGAGGCTAGCTGCAAGAAACGGATCGAAAATGAGCAGGAGCGACATCGATTCAACCAGGAGTATGAGAAGGGGAAACAAAATGGTGAGTTTGACTCATCGCACCATCACCTTGTATCTGAGTCATATTAATTGATCTTTTGCATTCTAGCACGAAAGGCTCGCCGAAAGGCTGCAACCAGCGAGGCTGGCCCATCGAATGACATTCAAGTTCACCATGCCCCCATCGACGATCTCCAAGACTTCGACTATAGCCAACTCGAGGATGAACACGGGAATCCAACTAGCCCCGGTAAGTATTAACCTACAATCTACTGCATCTTGCTGACCCATCGTTTTCGCTCAGTACTATCCGATGCCAGCATGGCTAGCAACCCCACGGTTGTCCAGCCTCATGCGGCATCTGTGCAAATGCCCAGCGAATTCAAAACGGAGTATCACCCTCGCTCTGCTCGTGCGACTCTCTACCAGATGTTCGACGAATTCGGTATCACTCAGGAGATGCAGCACGCACCCGTTGACGAGGAACCATGGCGTCCTTTCAGGTCACGCGGGGACTTCGAATTCTCTGAGATTGCGCTTGATGCTGCGCTAAATAAGTCTCAAATAAATGCCCTCCTTGAACTCATTTCGCGCATCGCTCAAGGTCAAGCTCAAATCACTCTGAAGAATGAGACAGATCTTTCGAGGGCATGGGACAATGCTGCGGCTGAATTAACACCGGTGTGTCTGACTGAATCTACTTACATGATCATATCGCTCAATGCCTTAGGCAACCTGCCATTAGTTTTCAAAGCACGAAGTCCCTGTGATATACAAGAGGAAGGAGCAAGAATACGAGGTCCACACACGGCCTGTGTGGGATTGGGCCCTCGATCTACTGGACAACCCCCTGCTCGCACCGCATTTCGTGTGGGATGCCTGCCGTGTTTACAAGCACAACGGTACGGATTTCGAACGCTTTTTCAATGAACCTTGGACAGGAGATCGGTGGTGGGATATTCAAGTGCGTTACAATTAACTGTGTCATATCGTGTGTAAATGTATATAAATGTCAAACCAATAGTCTTCTCTTCCGCCCGACGTTGAAAACGCTGTCCCATTCTGTTTCATTCTCTACGCTGATAAGTCGAAGCTGTCGTCTCATGGTACCGTCAAAGGGTATCCAGTTGTAGTCCGATGCGCAAACTTACCTGTAGACATCCGTAATGGCGAGGGGTTTGGTGGTGGTCGTGTAGTCGGATGGTTGCCTATTGTGAGTTGTTTCGTTCTCAATATATGTCAGATTGTTGAATTTACATGTTGCAGGTTCCTGACGATGCAGCCGAAGAAGGAAAACTCGGATACACAACGTTGAAGCGCGTTGTGTGGCATGAATCATTTTTCAAGCTCCTGGAACATGTCGCCCAGCACTCAAAGACTGGATATTCACACAAGGGCTATAATGGCATTCCGCGATGGCTGTTTCCTGTGATACTGATTCTTTCGGCTGACTATGAAGAACAGTGAGTTCGTTTTCCATCTCGTCGCTGCTGGTGCCTTCAAGGGTAAACACGCTCATGGCCTTTTGCTCTTTTCTTATTGGTCTTACATTAATACTAACCTATTTCATTCAACAGGTGCATGATGTCGCTGATACGTGGCCGCGGTGGCAAATGCCCTTGCCCCGTGTGCCTAGTACCATTAGCGGAGCTCCACGACCTGTCAAAGAGCTACCCAATCAGAACCGTGGAAGAAGCACAAGAAGCTCTCCGTATTTATGGGTGCAGTAAAGCTGAAGGCGAGCAGATACTCAAAGCGCTCGGATTACGACCTGTTGCGGTACGCACTTGTGTTGTTTCAAACTCATTCCTTGCTAATATGAAGCTTAGAATGTTTTTTGGCTCATCTTGCGTTCGAGTCCCCACGATGCACTTAGTTTAGATCGGCTGCATTCATTGCACGCCGGTCTGTGGAAGCACCTACTTGAAGAATTGAAGAAAATCCTCGCGTCGCTTGGACGCGATGCTCAAGAAGCATTCGAGAAGTCGTAAGTTGTCGATTGTATTCACACCTATCCTGTTCTCACAGTTACAGGATCGCTAACTTCCCCCGATGGCGCCACCTCACTCATTTCGAATCCGTTATCAACATTACATTCACTGATGGCAACAAATACCAGGACCTCTCTAAGGTAAGTTTTTTGGCTTGTTTTGTGATCTTTCATATCACTCATTATCTTGAAGCAAACATTATATCCGGCTTTGAACATCCTGACGCACAGAGCCAGTCCTGTAGGCCACCAGCTGCTTCGCGTTATCAGCAGTTATCTCCAGCTGGATAGCTGGATCGGTCTGGATTTGCATACTGAGCGCACACTTGCAGCGATCGACGCCGAGCTCTTAGTTTTCGATGCTGAGCTCAAGGTTTAGTCTTTACTTGTTGTCTATGTAGCTAATTATACTCATTTACACGACACATTCATTCCTAGGCTTATATTACATGCGCTGAAGAGTCGGAGGTCGAGAAATTGAAGCTTGACTGGAACTTTCCGAAGACCCACCTATGGAAACATGTTGTTCGTGATATCCGACTTAAAGGAGTAGCACGTAACTACAGCACGCGTCCGAACGAGAAGCTTCATGGCCCCCTCAAAGACACCTATCACCGTCGAACGAATGGAAAGGATACCGCGACGCAAGTAAGTTTACAAGATACATTTGTTGTTAGTACTCAGACTGATTCACATCATACACAATTGTATTGATAGATACTTCGTATTGATCACCACAAATTCGCCTCGAAACTTCTGAGAGAACGTGTCAACACGCTTGATGAACACTGCCGGTTGCAGGCACTCGGCGATGGCGGGCTTGATGAAGACATTGATGTTCCTGTAGCCTTTAATGGCCACGTGAAACTTGGCTCTCCGGTGCCACCCTTAGACATCCTTGGCGTTGAGAGTCGTGGTCAAACGGATCGTGCGTTTCAATCTTTTCGTCGGAAATTTAGTGAATTCATCAACAATGCTCTGCCTACCTATGGCCATCAACTGACGAGTTGGGTTACATTCCCAGGCGATTTCAAGGTATGCTAATAGTATCCTGTACAAGTTGTCTAATGCATCATACTAACATGGTACACAGATTCACGAGCACCGCTATCTCAAGGTGAACTATGAGTCGGCTGTGGACTGGAGGCAAAATACCGACCACCTTCGGTGCAACCCCAAATTCCATGGGCGGCCACGATTCGATCACGCGCTCATACAACTGACCGCTGAGGAAACAGCCTTCGTCCAGCTAATTTTCATGTTCAGATGTCATATTTCGAATCTCGGGCCCTTCGAATTCGCACTTGTTCAACCATACACTGCTAGAGTCGGTCCTCGCAGAACAGACTCCACCTTCAAGCTTACTCGTGTCAAGGCTGTCCCGAGGTCGTCATCAATATTTGTCCCGCTTAAATCTTTCATTCGAGGAGCTGTTCTAGTCCCTGATTCTGAGCATCAAGATGAATACTTCGTTGTTGATCACATTGACGGTGACATGTTTCTGCGAATGAAACACATATGAGTAAGTCCATTCAGTATTTGGGTAGGACCGCTCATGATGTTCTGCAGGAATATCCAAACAACATGCGTGCATTTTTTACCAAAGATGCCTCAAACCCGCCTCCAAATTCAGACGAGTAAGTCTACTCAGTATTTGGATAGGAATGCTTATCATGTCTTGCAGGAAATATCCGAACAACACGCATGCGTTTTTCACCAAAGACGCCTCCAAATTTACACGAGTAAGTCTACTTATTATTTAGGTAGGAATGCTCATAATATTCTACAGGGATATCCAAACAACACGCGTGCGTTTTTTACCAAAGACGCCTCAAACCAGCCTCCAAATTAGACCGGTAAGTCTACTCAGTATTTGGATAGGAATGCTCATTATGTTTCACAGGAAATATCCGAACAACACGCGTGTGTTTTTTTACCAAAGACGCCTCAGCTCAGAATCGCCTAGCACTTACAGGTGAGTCTGACTTATTATGTATTGGTCCTTATTAGCGAAACATACTGATGTACAATTATCAACGTTGTCGTAAGTGTGTATCGCCTTGATTCTGTTAGCGAGGACCAGCAACCTCGGCAAATCGACACCTGTGGTCCACATGTTTCTATTTCAACGTAATACTTTGTTCTGGAACCGAGTCCATCGGTGCATCGCCCCGGAGCATGTTATATAAAGTGGGCAATGGGTATTTCATCCTCGCGTCCCATTAACTCACTCACTCTCACTCAGTTTTAGAGACACTGTCATGCCGTATGACATGGATGCTGGGGAAGATTTCGAGGCTGAGATTAACGCCAGTCTCGGATGATTCTGATTCTGATGGATCTGATGGTGAAGTATCTGGGAGCGACTTGGATGCAGTAAGGACGGTCCTGGCTGTCCCTGGGCCAGATGCACAAATGCATGATGTTCGAAAGGTAGGCACGACACTTATATCATTCTTATTAGTCTACAACATCATCTGATATATGCTCTTACGTATCAGGCCCTTGCGGTAGCCCAGCAAGCTTACCATGCAACACGTTCTGAACTACGGGTCCTCAAGAAACAGTATCTCACTCTTTCATCTGCAATTCCTGCTCGCAGCCGCAACCGCATGCTCAAGAAGACGTCTCCACTGGATTCCAGCATCACCCACCAAGGACAGAAGTATACCCTGTTTAGTCATTTCTGGGTCATAAACGGTCTGTTTCCGACTTCTCCTCAACCTGCTAATGTCGACCCACGCGCCGCTACACGTTGGAGCTCTCCCGATGCGAAGCTTAAAGGTGCAATGGCTGAGCTGTATCAGATCATACCTAAAGACTTGCACACCTCCATGGAAACCTATCCACGTTTCGGATCATTGGTAAGTTTATGATTCAAACACTGCCAAATTTCACGCTGATACTTCTGTTGGCCTTAGTTTCATTCGGCAGTCAGCTCCGAGAGGTCAAACATTCTGCACAGTATCAAGGATTGTGCAGGTGTTATATTCTCTCCTTTCAAGCTCGACCCCAGCATCTTTGCCGACCAGCCTTCCAAAAAGCAGGACAACAAGGATCTCCTTGTCCTGCTCAAGAGGAATGGAGAGGGCGATTACATCCGCCTTGCACCTGTGCTATTTGCGAAGCCCAATGCTATGTCAGCCGATGATTTCCTCAAGTCTCCAGTGCTCGTCAAAGTAAGTGCCACTGATCAATGTCCAAGTATGATGGCTAACTCTATTGCTCATACTAGATTATTCGCGTTGAAGTGTATGGAAAGGCGATACTTGGTGGGAAGACAAGGGGCCATCCAAAGGGCAGGGGTCTGCGAATGGGTGCGCAGAGTGTTACTGAGGGTATGATTGCTGGCGCTGCTATATTGGTAAGTATTCTATCATTGTCCGTCCTTTGCTTTGCATCATTGCTGATTATTCATTCACAGGCACGTTTCTTGTTAACGCACGATACCGAGCTCACTGCGACCGGAGCAGAGACGAAGATCAATTACCAGAAGGATTACGACTTCTATCTGGAACGCTTATTCAAAAGCTCTCCATGGGCAATTGGCGTGATGGAATACTTCAATAAGGAAGTTTTCAACACCCGTGCAGCGCTATTGAGTGCATCCGCATCCGTTGTACCCTCTGCCTCCATCCCTCGCACCTGGGAAGATGACCTATTGGAGGAATTGGATAATCCTGTTGCTCGTGCACCCTCGCCAACTCTTCCTGTTTTCCGTGCACCCTCGCCGGCTCTTTCCAATCTCTCTGCTCTTTCTGCAGCGCCTGCAGATCCTACCACCCAGGATGACTGTATCATTGTCTCAACATCAATGTCAATCAGCCAGCCACGTGCCAGTGTGTCTTCTACGCAGCTACAGGTGGATGTTAGTCAGTTATCGCTAACTGATCGTGATTCTTCGGCAGCGCAGACTGAACCAGCAGGTGGAAAAGCATGGCGTCGGGGTCGTATTTCAGCTCAGCCTGTCCCTGCTGCTGTACCAGATGTTCCGAAACCCAAACGCATTAGCACACGCAGCAAGAAACCAACAACGAGGTGATTCAGAGCATTTGGTTGTTATTATTCGGTCTTATCATTAGCTATTCCTACTCTGGACTTTACATCAGTCTCTCCTCGTACTTAGGACTACATACTTGATGTCAGATGTGTTTTGATTGATATGCAATGCTACAATTTTAACCTTAGACTTGATGGCCTCAACCGCAACTTAAGTTTTGGGTAAGACATTATGTTGCCTTATAAGGACCTTATAATGTGCACATATAGCATTGGGGTTCCATCTTATATGTGGCCGTTTGGCTAAGGGGTAACTATGCCAGTTAATACTACAGTTCTACTTGGTAAGGTCAAAGTCTAGAGTTCGAATCCCACCAGTGTACATTACAATAGTTAATAATAGTAGTATAGATCATGATTAGATAGACAGTAGTTAATAATAGTACTAGATAATGATTAGATAGTAACATAAATAGGATAGTCGTACAAATAAAATGGTAGTACAACAATTAATGTTCGGTTGAAAGTGTTGAAAGATCACGTGGGTCATTAAATTATTATTTTTCTATTTCAAGGTTGATGTCAGCATTACAATGCCTTTCAAGGCCCGTGTCTCACGTGTCATGACACAGCCATCCAAATGCCTTGCAATGGACGACGGCAACCATTATAAGGTCTTAAAATAAAATCGTGTGTCATCCGCATGCATTATAATGGCCTATGTGAAAATTTGTCCTTAAAATGTCTACCAGGGACCTACAATGGTGCCTAGAAATTTCCGACATGGGGCCCGTCTTCACCAGGACCTTACGTTGTTCCACTTACCAAGCAGCACTTAGAAGCCGCACGGACTCCAAGTCTCCAACAGTACGTGAGTACGCCGCAGCCCGGCTCTTGCAAGGTATCGCTTCAATTCTTTGAATCCCGAATTCGGCTCCCCTCAACCCTTGATGGTCATCTGTACACGGAGAAATTTTGGGCATCTTGGCTTTCATTTGAAATGGCAGCAGAGCTATTTATGATACTTGGACCTCAACAAATGTAGATTCATGTCTAGTTTCCAGAAGTTGCGAATGCGTAGTACGAAACATGTTTCCACCAGTCCGCCGTTCCCAGCAGCCGTTTCAGACGTGTACTTGTCATCGAAGATGAGATGACTCGCTAACCTGAAATCATGGATCAGTAACACAGCATGAAGTTGCTGACACAATAGCACCCAATGCCGGCGTTATTCGTGCGTTAGGCTTATTTGACCAAGTTGAATCGATCCGCGACGCTGGAAATGCTGGTCTTCTCTAGTTCGAAAGCACGAAATACAGCATGAACATTGTGAACCCTCGTTCTACCAGATACATGTTTGGACCCAACTTACTGTACAAAGTACTTTCTATCGTACAATATTATACATACAAACGTGTTCCGCAGTGCCGAAGTTCTGTGGTGTCACGTAGCCAGACGTATTAAAGGTTAGTAGCACAGTCAGACACAGGTAAAGAGTGTGAATATATAAAAGCAAGCAAGTAAATTGAGACTCTAGCAGATGTAGATAACGAAGGTGTCCTTGATGTGTGACGCTAGTTTGATCTGATTCATGACAATACGGGACTGGCGCTGTCGGCGTTGTGGGTATTACTATAGGGATATGGAGCTAACCTCATTGATTCCTCGGTTGATCTACCATCTTCCACTGACCTGCCACCGATCCCGAATGCCTGAGCAAAACCCTTCTTACTTGAAGAAGTTGACGAGGAGCCAGGGGAACGGTGAAAGAAGAACTTGAATGAGTACCATATCTCTGTGAAAAAATCCCCTGGTAGTGTGTTAGGCAATAATTTAGGAAGATATCGTAGTGCTTACAATAGTTGACGCTATGAAAACATCAGCAATTGAAATATTTATCAATCATGGAACATAGACGCACCTGTCCCATAATGGACGCCAAATGCCTGTCTTTTTGTTTGCTACCGTCTTGTATTCATCGACTGTGTACGCCCACATCATCAATAATGAGAAGAAAACCATCTGTTGCGTGATAAGTCGACACGAGGCTCCCACGTTGTATTCAGGAGGTGATGACTGACCTCGATGCAAATGGCCAGCGCATTAAGACCATCTGCGATATTGCCCGCAGTCCAGTATTCGGTAGCTTTGGCGCTTATCTCAGCTTACAGTAAATTAGAGTTCTGAAAGGACACACCTTGAATAACGCGGCCTTCTAGTGCGCTAAACTGCAAACGACTCGGGCGTGAAGTGGGTAACGACTACAAAGGCGGGAAGGACTTACGATAAAGGATTGATAAAAAGTGAATACCACGATGAGTTTGATACAGAGAAATTTAGCTAGTGGTCGTCGCCCAACCAGTTCCTCCTTGGTGAGTCCGTAAAACAGTAAAAGACCGTAAAGTGCCACACTATTCGCGGGACAATATGTTATAGTCAGATCTCTATCTCACCATAAGTTGGACATACCTAATGCTGACGAAATCAACAGCCTCGAGATAGACATTGGCAAAATATATGCTGTAAGGGCCAGACTCGCAAAGCACGTTGTATATTTGACAGATAATCCCAGCGATAGATACGGCTGCGGTAACGTGAGACATCTATCTGTGAATAGACTGGTTCCACCTCACCTGGTCGGATGATAACGTATTGCAAAACTGACCACTACACTAAAAATGGGCATTTGTCCAAGCACCTAGTAGCTTGCTTACCTTGACGGTATACATGAAGTAAGGCTAAAGAAGTGTGTGAGGAAAAGACTCCCGGGGTATCAGCAACAGCATACCTTCGTCGGTCGGTATCTCCAACAGCAAAACTACGGGCGAGATTAACATGTAGTTGTAAAAATTGTCAAGATAAAATACGTACAGGAATCGGCAAAGGTCTTTTATCCTTCCGTTCAATTGCTTTTGTGGCGTCGCCATCTGTAGCCGTGGCTGCCACGAATTCGATCAGAAGGAGTCTGTCATAGGGATAACAAGTAAGCAAAACGTCTATGTGATCAAAAGTAAACCACGAACAGGAATGCACTCAAGGTGACAGCCTGAGCAAATGATGAGACAATGAACAAAGATGGTATACACGGTAACCATTACCTCGTATGCTGAAAGGATTGGGATACTGTCAACTCAGCATACGATAGTGTTGGCACGACAACTTACAGACTTCGATGAGCGAGTAGTATGTGTAACTCCGGAAGTATCGGTAGGAAAAGAATGAAATAACAGCATATACTGGTGGCATGTACAGAATTCGCAGACTAAAAGTAAGGCATCAAAAAAATGCACTCAAAGGAAGAAGTTATGCACGCACATTTGACGCTGCTCGTTAGGTTTGGTATAATGTCTGACGTGACGAATTGGAACCGAAAAATACTTCAAAATTTATGGCGCCTTACCGACAATGCCGCAAGACTGAAATCATTGAAATAATAACTGTCTTTTAACGGTAAACCACTCAGGAAAAATATGAACTACTGAAGATGAACATACTAGCACAGCACATCCTCCTGCAATTGCCCATCCTATTCGGTGTTGGTCCCAGTTCAGGTTCCCGGAGCTCCAGAAACTGGATTGGTCCACGTTTGCGGTGTTGTCAGACGGGCAAGTATGATTCATAACAGATTGTGGTGGATACTAAAAACGTATGTCGGTATTCCACTGAGCGGATATTACAACGGCAGGTATAAGAGGAGAAGGCTAAACCAGTAGCTGAAGAGCGCCTGAATCGTTCGTCGTTCGTTTAGGAAGCAGTGTGTGTTTACGTAACTTAGTAATATGACACAGCTTCTTGTTTTATCTCTTGTCTGGACCTCTGCTGTAACGTTGGACCCTTCTGATATACTACCGCACGCCATGGACACTACGACTTGTTCGGTATAGGATGTCAGCTGATCATAAAATACATTTTTAGGCTGCTTCCAGCAGTGCTAGAAGCCAAGACTTCAACTGGCGCTCATGCACTTCTCTTCGGTTTTTAATAGTGCACTGGCATAAGCGCCACTATTTGTTTCAAATTTTAGGCTAGGCTTCGAGTCAGAACACACTGAGTCGAAATGTTAATACTGAGCATAGGCATCGGAGAGCGTGTGGTATAGCTTCAATTTCATGTGTTATCTCGTACGTCGCGGTAGGTGTACATCTGCATTCTCGGAGCGCCTATCATCCTCACAGCCATCGTCCTGCTTCTAAACACAGACCATCAAGCGCGCGAGGTTTACTTCTTCTTGGGAACCTTGGCTTTTGCCTTGGCGGCAGGAGCCTCTACGGCAGGAGGTTTGGCACCTTTACTCTGCAAGATCAACAAATTACATTTTTGTCGATAATCATTGGACAGGTTACACACTGGTGCGGAGGCACCCTTAGCGGGCGGGCTTGGTACGGGTGCTCCGGGAGCAGCACCGCCAGTGGTGGGAGCGCCTGTGCATCAGCAGTGATGCCAGCGAAATAATCGAAGGTGGTAAAAAATATCAAACGCCCATCAGACACCGCCCTGATAGAAATGATGGTCGGGCATACCAGTTTTAACAGCTTTCTTTGCAGCAGCCATCGTGTATTATTTGCACAAGAGATGAAGTATGAGCGAGGGTGTGGTTGTGGTAGTTGAAGGGAATACAGGCAGACAATCTTTTATAGCTCTCGCGCAGCCCTGCCCTCACCTTCGGCAGAGTTCGTACCGTTTCTCCCTGTGGATCACAAATTGCACAGCTGTGTTCAGTTCCGGAATTATTGATGTCTAAGATGAGTTTGGGCTGTGTCAGTTCAGGATACTTTCGCGCCATTTACGCTCATAGTCTGTTTGTAGCAGTTTCAATGATCTCCGCTGGAGGGAAGATACTGCGGAAATGAAGCCAGCAGAGCTTATCCTCCCAACCAACTCCTTTCCCCTTATCTGGGAGCCATGTACGTTGAAACTTACTCTATTTCATCTTGAGCTCTCAGTTTAGCTGTTGATCTGCATCCTGAAACGGATGGTTAACCTTGTGACAGACTACACCTGTGCCAAATACCATTCTTAATCACTCCTATACATCCCTACCAATCACATCGTAGCACGGGCGTTTTGATCTGCGACTCCACCTTTTGCACATTCATTTCGGTGGAAGTGTTGTTCCCTGTGACCTCGCTTCTTGCCCAAGCTTATCTATGTGGAAGCTTGCGCGATTTTGGCTTCCAGTCTGCGTCGCTGTTGATGGAATAGACCCGAGACATAGTCACATCTACGGAATCTCAACAATGATTATTGAAGCTTGAAGCCCTTACATAACATAATTTCCTCACGACGCCAGCATGTTATCATCGTTGCTCCCTACACCACCCTGAAAAACCACCACGCCAGGCCCCTAGCACGAACACAATGACTCGGTGTAAATGTGTTCAGTCGAGCACATTCTAGGCTTGATATATGGGGAATAGATATCAACTTATATGTTCATCGCAAGGGAAACCCCTCTCATAGAATCTGGATTGTCCATTGTACTTATCGATATGATCAACTCAGATAGGCAGTGTAACTACTTCTCTTACCGAGACCATGAATTCAATTGAGATGTCACGCCGACGAAACACTATGAGATAAGAGTTTCATCTGCTTCCACCACGTCTTCGGTGACTTGAACAGGGTGCCTCTTTCTCCATTCCTCTAGCCCTTTCTCTAGAATTCGGTCATTGAGACCGTTTGGGACAAGTGTGAATGTCACGCCTAGTATACATAATGACGTCAATCTAAGGGGGTTTCATTAGTTCGTAAGTTTACGTACCAAGTTCTTCTACTTCCTGATTCCTCCATTCGTCGTCGAAGAATAGCTAACCAAACATGTAAAACAACCTTCATACATAACGCTCACCTACTTACCATCTCATCATAGGGTATCCCAGTCTTCTCATGAAGTTGCTTGAAATGTCTGATCTTGGAAGAAGGGTATATCTCCAGCTGGTCAAAAAACTTAATTGCGGGAATTGGTTTAGCACTGCTGTCGCTACCAGTCCTCGGGGGTATAAGTATGAGATCTAAGGCTTCGCGAGCTCTTCGGGTACAGCATGTCAGTGCAGAACGTAGTACTACCAATAGTGGAATCGTTCAGATCACTCACAATGACGGCGCATCCGTCCGTGAGCACGCAGCGATCGTTACGCCTGCTGCTTGTAGGCGATGCATGATCTGTGGTACATCCTTGTAAAAGTCTATTGTCTTGGGTTTGCGCTGGCTATCGATGACTTTGCCAGTGACGTGGTCTCGCTTTAATGGAGGATGTACGTGAGTATCGACCCAGAAATCCCAAAGCGTATAGCTACATGGTCTGCGATCAGTCACAATCGAGACTCGATGGGAGGCTTCCCTTACTCTAGATCGAAAGCGACCAGTTTTGGTAGCCTGGTCGTCATCGTATGATATCGGTTACTGGTGGGAGGTTGATGCAGGTGGTCCTCCGAGTCAACACCACCGCAGTCACTGCAGAATGTTGCATCGCCTCATCTTCCCAGGCCTTCTTGCGCAGCAAAAGCGTCGACGACGATCAAACATGTGTTCTACTACATCTTCGGAGGCCCGGGTTTCAATATGAGCATGCAGAATGTTGCACAACAGCACCAAACTTATGTAATTGTACGTGTAATTTGAACTTGCTCAGGCGTAACTTGGACCTACTACTACTAGTAGTCAAAGTTAACTTCGAAATTTAATGTGTGTAACCTTCTACTTCTTTTGTTTCGGCCGAATCGGCCCTAGTACTCGTTGATGACTAGCCTTTTCAGCTGCACGAACCTTTCTCGAGGCTGCGCTAACCCCTTCCTGGGCTGGGATCAGACCAGGATCATAGATGAGGCTCAGACTGCTTTGCATGGCCACAACGCCGCACCTAGTGCAGTATGATCAACATCTTGCGATCAAGGGTTTTACCAAAATAATTTCAACCAGTCTGCCCCAATGATCATACACTCGTGAGTCGGATCTCAGGTCTAATAGGGTATGCATCTAAACTACATTCTGGGCTCAGGCACCAACTTCAAATTGTGGCGCTCAGGAAACCGAGGAAGTTCTGATGGGAAGCAACATTTATCCGGCAGGTGGGCCAGAATCGAAGTTTACGAGATTGATAATCGTCGGATCAGTGGCCTTGTCCCACAATCAACAACACTCGGACCAAACCGTGACGCTCTTGACCCGGATCCAGCATCAGCTAGACTAGCCTGCTGCCTCTAGATATGATGCATCCCTTGTCATTCAGGCATTCCTCTCTGCTGACAAGGGCTTGCTCGAATGGTCGGACGCTCTCCACTTTAGCTGCCTCTACATCATTAGGCTGCCTACCCCCGGCGCACTCACCAGCCGTGTCAAAGCTCGCGTTCTTCAATTCTGTAACTGGCGATAGCAGCAAGATACCAAGTTATCGAGTTCTTGATGTGTTTGGCGTTCCGATAGAAGGCGCTAAAGTGCCTGAGGTATCTATTGCGCCCTTCGCATCTCCAAAGAAGTTCACTGACGTCAAAGTTCATTTAGATCAGTAAACAGTTCGCTTGGCGATTGTGGGTTGGTTTCGCAGGGCTCGAGATTGTATCTTACAGTCTTGAAGATATGAACACATGCAGTTGCTTCCCACGCTGGATGATATACTTTGCAGTGGTCAACGCCAAGGCAGGATACCCTTCTACGTACGTGGATAAGAGCATCCCTTGGGCATTCTTTTACATAGCTTAAATTTAGGCGGCTTCTGTAAGATATTTGATCGTGCAGGTATGAATGCTAGTCGCTGACCTCATATCTCAAGTATGGAGAAGAGGCTACTGTAATTGGCACTGCTGCTGCACTTGCTGATGATGACGAGTGAGTTTCTCTGGACCCATAGTCTCGTTTGAGTTACAATGAGACACTTGTTTCCAGAGTATTATGTCGGACCAATTTCTGCGTTATTTATGTTTTTCTCTAATTCTGCCACAGCACAGTATCGGGAAACGGGGGTACTCTTGTGGCGTGGTTTCACTCTCGATGGTATCATGGCGCAAGTTTTCGGAAATCATGAAGATTCTGGCAAAGGCCGCCAGATAGCTGTGGTATGTCGCTTTGTGGTTTCCCTTTCGAAGCTTTGCTCAGCATCTACTGATGCTCCCTTAGCACTACGGCTCCAAGCAGCACCATTTCCACACCATATCCTCTCCACTCGCAACTCAAATATCACAAGCTGCCGGAGTTGGATTTGCACTTAAACGTGATCCAGCGAGACGCTCTAAAAATGTGGCATGCGCGTTTTTCGGGGAAGGCGCAGCATCAGAGGGGGACTTCCATGCTGGAATGCTCCTTGCTGCGACGCTGCCATCGCCAACATTGTTTCTGGCAAGAAACAACGGGTTTGCCATTAGTACCCCGAACTCGCAACAGTTTTACGGCGATGGTATCAGTGCAAGAGGCCCAGGTAACTTGATCACACGTCGTGTATGCATTTGTGTGAATAGTAATCGAACATCACTTGTAGGTTATGGTGTGGATACGGTTCGTGTAGACGGAAACGACGTACTTGCGGTAATGAACGCTGTCAAGGAGGCGCGAAGACGGTGCTTGGAAGGTGGCCGGGCAGTTCTAGTGGAGATGATGACTTACAGGATTGGCCATCATTCGACGTCGGACGACTCGTATGTCTATAGGGAGCGCCAGGAGGTTGAAGACAGAACAAAGAATGACAACCCCATCACGCGATTCCGCCTATTCATGGAATCCCGGGGATGGTGGAACGAGACGGATGAGGATGAGCTCGCGTTCCGTTTGAGACGTGATGTGATAAAGGCATTCAAGCGCGCGGAGACTGTCAAAAAGCCTGACCTGAAGGACATGTTTACTGATGTATACGCGGAAGAGCCCTGGAATATAGTGAGTCGATGGATTAGTCGGTGACGCGTACTCATTTTGGCTACAGAAGGAACAGCGGGAGGAGTTGATAGCACTGCTCAAGAAATATGGACAAGTGTGGGAGCCATGGCAAAATGAACTCAGGACCCTCAAGAACGGAGGGAAGCCTGTAGATTGACGATTCAACAGCACACGACAGCGTAATGCAGACATTCAGATGCAACTTCAATATACTCACCAGTCAAATATCACGATAAGAGAGAATCAAATTGAACTCCAAACCGACAATCACAAGTGGGTAATCATAGTCGAGGGCTGCCAGTCCAGCGGCGTGCCGTGACAAAGCGAGTACAAGGTCCTGATCACTATCGCCGGGGACCAGAACAGGTAACGTTAGAAACAATGGGAAGAGGCGATGACGTGGGTATGAAGGGGTACGCAGGGAATAGATACGCAATAAGAACCACTGACGGGACGCACGTATCGATAACGAATCTGAAAGAGGAAAGGTGGAATCAGAAGGCAACGTAACACTGCAAAAAGTACAAAATTGTCGTGAAACCGAGGCTACGGAACCGAAACGCGATAGACCGAAAGAGCGATATCGTTATCTTAACGTAAAGTTACACCAGGATCAAGTTGCGGTGCCAGCGTAAGGATCATCATACGCTTGAGTGTAACGGTTGTTTTGCTCGCCCCCCTCCTGGGTAGAGAGGCTGGGAGTGTACAGCGTCCGCATACCATTACCGTTGTAGCTCGCAGCTGGGATAGGGAATGCCAAGGAGCCAGTAGGGGGAGGGGACTTCATTCTCCGTTCGGCATAGGCGCGGAGCATCTCGTCGGGAGACATGACACTGGCAGGCATGGGCATCATAGAAAGACCTGATTCCGGGGCAGGATGTGCTGGGACGGGAGGAAGAGGCATGTCAACGCTCTGCTGTTCCTGGGGTAGCAAATAATCATCTCCACCAGCTTCGTTTCCTGTGCGCATCACTATTTTAAAGGTCAACTTTCAAGTACATAGGGAACAACCATAAGAAACCTACTGCTCAAGGACGGCCAAACTTCATCCATGCTAGGACGCGCCTCCGATGCTCCACTAAGGGACATGCGGGCACGAATATCATCCGGAGTGAGAGTAAAGGGACCCTTGGTTTGTGTGGGAGAAAGGTCTCCCGTCTCTTCCTTGTCATCGTTAGAAGGAAGAGGAGGCACAAAGCCAGTATGGAAGGCACGACTGGTTCCGACCGTGCGACGAGACTCTATTGATGGACGAATGTCTGTAGCGAATGATACTCGTGATACCCGCTCGCCTAAGGTAGTCTGAGAACGCAAACCGGAGCGTAGTTGAGACATCCTTGGCACGTCAAAGCTATCTTTGTCTGATATGGAAAGATCGCCTTCAACAGCAGCAGTGCTGACAGGACGAAGTGGACCAGAGGAAAACGACGAGTTGCGATTTCCTCCGACTGAAACTGCCATACTGTGACGAATGGCTGCCGAAGCGCCAGCAGCAGACATGGACTTCCAGTCCACGGAGATCGTCGACATACGCTTGTCGATGGCCTCGCTGAAGCGTCTGCTCTTTTCCTTGGATTTGGCACGACTTAATTTGAAGTAGACAGCTAGTCCCAGTCCGATGAAAATCAGCGGCACCAGGACGCCGGCAGCGATCTTGCCGCTAGAGGAAGAGCTGTTGGAAGAGAAATTTCCAACATAAGTGACACCGCCAGGAGAACTGAGATCGGCGCTGGCTGGGGTAGAACCATCGGATGGTGCAGTATATGTAGCAGTAAATACAGGGCCCGCGGGAAACGGGCTAAGGAATGGTTGTGTGTTGGTGGTAACGATGGAAAGCTGTAGATTGACCGTGGACGTGTCATTCCACCACTTGGTCTCAAGGCTGGTCTGATAAGTCCCCAAGGCGTAATTAACATTTTGCCACTCGTGAATACGGCTGCTGCTCAAGCTAGGGGCGATAAGATAGATATCGACAGCTTGTGTGCTGCTGGGCAAGCAGGATGTATCCCAGGTGATATTGAAGGGACTACTGCTAGAAACAGTTTGACCCTGAGAGGGGCTGATATAAAAACCGCCTGTTGCGCATGCTGCAGAGATCAGGATCTAGCGCAATGCACATTTCATTCATTTGTGAACTTACAAGAACGCTTTTGGTGCGTTTGTGGTGCACCAGCATGCCCAATGCGAACGTGCGCTAATCCTCGTTTGTTCATGTCGGTAAAATATGGATTTTTCTTATTAGATTGGCCTCAGTTTGGGTATAAAAACCCTTCTGAAAAAAAAGAGCGTATCCGCTGTGTCGCGCGGTCTGATGAAAGGAATGGCGGGAGGTGCTAGTAGTAGACTCACTGGATTGGTTGTGATGGAGGCTGGCCAACATCTATCGCGTATTTGAAATTTAAACTCAGACAAGACCCCAAACACTCCACAATCTGTCATGTCAACAATTGACAGAACTTCAAGTTGTCTTGAACTTTTCCAGATAACTTGCACATAGCATCATAGTAGCTTGGCGCAAATAAGTAGGTGAGTGCAGAACTCGTGTTTGGAAAGTTTGACATAATTTTCTTCATTCAGCACCAAGGCTCGAGGCTAAAGCATGTATGGATGTTGGCTGCCAAGGCATTACTAGTTCAAATGCCTGCCAACCCATGTCCAACCATGTTGTGCAATCTCACATGTCCATGTATTGGCGCTCACGCGTCGCCTCATAAATAAGGGCTGGGGGGCTTGTACATCTCCTTTAAAGTACTGGACACACGATAGTTCCGCTCCG